AAAGGCGACTATGCTTGTCGTAAGAGGCGACTAACGAGATCGGGTGGTCAGGCTCGCTGACTTGGTTGATGCATGTCATCGTATCCAAATTGCGTGGATAGATGCTTATGATGTCAATCACTGGATTGTCTGGTCCAGACTCGATTATTTACAGACCGTCGTCATATAGCTGGAATATTGCTGAGGGCAGCGTTAAACAACAAACAAACAAACAAACATTGACTCTTTGTTTTCTTAAACAGGATGTCGAGAATATGGTTCAGACTTCTCTATATACAAACGTTTGTCGAACAACGGACACAACAACATAATAAAACTTAACTACGGAGAACAAAAATGCCGGAACCTGTGCATCTCTCGGACAGATTTCCTGTGTGTCTCAATTGAGATCGGCTACAAGATGATGGATATGCTGACTGCCTGCCACATCAGTAATGAGAGCTACCTGGACGTCCCAGAGAAAGACAAGTGTCCCAACTCCAACGACTACACGTTCTCTACTCGCAATTGCAAACCTACTAACATCATCACTTGCGGTTAATGCACTGGGAACGTATTAATTTAATGGTTTGAGAGACTCTTCCGTGAATTCCGATACATCACGTGGATTTGTACATGTGCATGACCCTAACTCTCGTCTGTAAAGATAACGAACTTTGATATCATGACGAGTTATACATATTAACCTAAGTTACAAAGATGTATATTAACCTAAGTTACAAATATGAATATTGTTTATTGGATTTCGTAATACCTGAGCGTGTTACACAGATGTAATTACCACACTTTTCGTTAGTTTTGCATGTCATTCGACAATATTTTATATCTTGGCTGTGAAGTCGTGAGATTGATGAAGAAATTATAGGATACTATACCACTCAGGAGTTAAAGAGTACACAATTATTTCATATTGCATGTACTATAGTTAATCTGTCATGACAGCTTAACTATAGTAATATCAAAGAATCGTGTCTTCTGTAATTTCTTTTGAGAAAGGTAAAATCAAATTCGATTTCACTGATAGTGACACCACTCCATTGTGACCACTGGTCTTACTCCCGTATCGGTTCCTGGCAGACCAGATCCTAGTGAGAGCCGACTGAGTATCGGCTGGTCACAATGTCTTACCTGTTTTACTGCGTGAGTTGTAGCCAATGACGTGTGTACACTTATGGTAGCGTCTGAATTGTTCAGGCAGGAGAATGTAAATCAGCGACCAGGAAACAACTTCACAGACAGTTTAATCCCATCCACCATTTTGACAAAACACTACACACTAATCGAAAATCTTGCATGCAGCAACTGAACAAATGCGATCGTGAATGTGTGTTCAGAGAAATGCAACGGGTAGAAGATAGCAATTGACGTAGTCGCGTACAACTGCCTAAATTCTTTGACAATTACCTAGGTGACTTTAGTTTGTGTGGTCAGGACTGACGTAAACTGCTAGCCCACTGAGATACCATGCCGCAGTTTAACATGAATACCCCACTCAGACACAGTGTACTGACTTCAAGCCGACCTGTCCTTGTTTTAGCCCCTTAATGCCGGGCACCGGACAGGATAGCAACAAGTACCATCTTTTAACGTCTTTTGGTATGACGCGGCCGGGGATCGAACCCCGGACCATCGCCACTGTTTGATCTACTCTTTGTATCTTTGGGTGTGACGTTCCTGTGACATTTGTGGAGGCAAAGTCAATACCAATTAAAAACACAAAAAAAACCGTTTTAACTGCATACATATTTAAGTAATAAACGGGGAGTGGGAGTTGTTTATCGTGCAATAAAACACTGCAGGGAGAATGAACCATGAGGGACACAGCCCCGAGTGGGTTAATCTCCCTTTCAGTGTTTTATTGTACGATAGACAACGACCACGGGTCGTTTACTTCTTATATGAGATATCAACATTATTTACAACCTCTTTAAATATGATGATAGAATGTACAAGCTTTAAAAATATTTACACATATTTTAACAAAGACGACTCCCTCAGTAGAGTTCATTTTATGCACAGGTGGGTATTTGCCGCATATTCTCACAATCCTCACTTCGATTACCTGTACCTTTTCTTCCAATATCGATTGCTAATTGGCTCCCGCTCCCGATGCGATCGTTCGGCCATCGCGTTTATCTGCGTTGCCCTGTTACATCTATGGGGAACAACTCACTAGACACTCCCCACTCAAAAATAACGTCGTCCAATAACCGACATCATCAAATTGCGAGCGCATGTTCGAATTTCCAGAAATGTGGTCATAATAGAACAATGTTTTATTGTCAAATAAACCACGCTTCGATAATGTCATTTTTTTACCCTCCTACTCAACATAATACGAGGGCTGGTCAAAAGGTTCCCAGCCTGACGAACTTTCAACTATGGACCCTAACAAAATGAACTAGTCAATGTAGTACATTGTTTGAGTAGTTCATTGCAAGTGTATTTGGTCTGTTGAGGCCGTTTGTATATTAGTGACAGCCAGCTGATAGGGTCCAAATGGACACAGAAATGGAAAAGAACGAGAACCGAGCAGTCATCAAGTTTTTGACTTTAGAGAAAAGTACTTCATGGCCGCATTTCACAAGTGTATGGGGATAAGTGCGCTCTGCTATTCCACTTTTAAACTTTGGGCAGGTATGTTTAAGGCTTGATAATGACCTGAGGTCTGGGCGTCTCTTAATTTCCATCAATGAAGATTCACTTAAAGAGATAGAAAACTTACACTGTCAGATAGATGTATCACCATTGCTGAACCTGAGGAAGATAAAGTTCTAAGCCATCCATCCATTTAAACTATTTTTCATGAACATTTACAGATGAATAAGATGTCTGCTCGTTTGGTGCCAAAGTTTCTAAATCATGATTTTAAGGAAAAAAGAACTGACATCGCCAGAGAAAACTTTTAAAGCTAATCGAGGAGGATTTGCGTCAAATTCAAAGGAGTTTAGAAACGCGTGATGAAACATGGGTCTACCACTATGACCCCGAGTCAAAACGTCAATTCGTGGAATGGCACCATTCCACTTGTCCGGCACCAAAGCAATACAAGTCTTCAAGATCAGTGAAGAAAGTTATGGCCACTGTATTCTGGGATACAAAGAGTGTGATCCATGTTGATTACTTATACTCTTCAAAAGAAAAAGAAAAGAAACGCACAGGTAGATTTTTAGTAAATCTATTGTCCCTAATAAAGTCGATATATTTAATTTAATATCAAGTATGAAATTTTGGAGCTCGATAGTCACAGTCGTTGTACAAAGACATTGAAAACTGTTCATTGTCATGTCACATGAGGCCACAAGGTTGCGCTGAACTCACTTTCTCGTGTGACCGCCCCGGGCAGCAATCACGGCTCAGCATCACCTCGGCACTGTGTACGAATTCTGTCATGCGGAATTCTGTGCCATTCTGCTTGAAAGGTGTTGGCCAGTAATGGGAGTGTCTGTGGCGTGTTCTGACGTTGACGTACACGTCGATCGAGTTCATCCCAGAGGTGTTCGACTGGGTTGAGGTCTTGAGATTTCGACGGCCAGGGCAAGTCGTTGACGTTGGCATTATGAAGGTAGTCTACCATGACACGAGCTGTGTGCGGTGGAGCGTTGTCCTGTTGAAACAGGTCCCTCTGGCGGTCAATGATTGGAAGAAGGTGAGGTTGAAGAATTCATGTAGCGATTTGCTGTCAAATATCCCTGAACCACAACCTAGTCAGATCTCGTGGAGTAGGATATGGACCCCCGCACCATGACACTACCGCCACCGAAATTGTCGAATTCACGTACACAATGTGGGGCAAAACGCTCATTTAGACGACGATAAACACGTTGTCTTCCATCTCGCCAGTGAAGAAGAAATCGTGATTCATCGCAATACCACACTCGTCTCAAGTTTCTGAAATTCCAAGACTGTAAGGTATGGCACCAACGCAAGCGTCGCTGTCGATGGATCTGTTGCAAAACAGGGACGGTAACTGGTCTTTTGGCTAGGATTCCAGCCTCGCGAAGATGGTTCCTAACAGTCTGGTCCGACATCCTCCTCAAACCAGGGATGCATCCTGCAGTCTCCGTAGCTGTGGCATTGCGATGACGTAGGTGGAACAGTCGAATGTCGCGAAGAGGTAACTCTTGGACGGCCGGTTCTCTGGCGGTCTGCAGTGGAGTTGAACTGTGTGTATCGGTCCCAAAGGCGGCAAATGCTGCTGTGGTGGCCGTTGAAGTGACGTGCAACAGAAGACTGTGATTCCTCTTTGGATACGTCCTATGGCGATGTTTCGATCGGAAGCGGCATTTTCGAACTTGAAAAATGTTGAAAATTGAATGACAAATTATTGCCTTATGAATGCTTTTTTATAGCCATTACCACGAGTTACGGATGCCATATCTTGCACGTGCATTTTGCTTTACTGTTTTCCTCCATGACATTTTTTAACAAGTGTGAAAACAATGCCGTTTAAGACATTGCAAATCGACAATGGCTGCGTTCTGTCGCACCGTTTGTCGAATATCAGGCCACCAACATTTTCCAAGAACATATATCCAATTTATATTCCGGATTTTGTGTACATACTACCTGTACGTTTCTTTTTGTGAAGAGTGTAGAAAGTCAAAAGACGATTACCGGTGCCTACTATGCTGATCTGCTTCATCGCCTGAGAGATTCTATCAAAGAAAGCGTCGAGGAATGCTGACTGCTGGAGTTCTACTACTTCATGACAACCTTTTGGCCAGCCCTCTTATCAGGAATAAGAAAAACCGTCGAACACTCCTTTTAACGTCCTTAACTTCCTTTCTGCATTGCATTAAAAACATATAAGCTTTTTACTGATTATATTAAAGTGGTGAGGTGAGGTGAAATGGGGTTTAACGTCGCGTCTAAGATTACTGCACTTATATAGCGACGTGCAGATTATATTAAAGTAATTATTATAGAGGTTTAAGAGGAGAACATTCTAATAATTATTTAATCACGAGGCTGGTTTTGACACAAAGTAATGAGATCAATTGAGGTCAAGTAAAGTCAAGTCTTTATTTCGAATGAAGGCCCTTTGCCAATATACATGATATTTCCATAAATATATACACAAGATATAAAAATTCACACATTATGGTAAGCCTGAGTATAATTATAATTTTCTGTCTCTTATCATAGCTTTGTTATACGAATTTAAAGAGTTTCTTCAGCATTATTTCACAATTTCCATATAATACCATTTGAAGCGTTATTCAGGATTGGATATTTACGATTATACATTTACGGTGAGCAACATTCTCTAAGGGCACTTTTTTTTACCATGTTTACATGTGACATGTAACAACCATGTGACAACTCGATTCCTGAGATCTATCATCAATAAGCTTGTTGCTCATAGTATATTTGTCTCCAGAAAAGTGAAAAACAAATGTCTAATATAGGAGAAGGGAAGGTTCCATATCACAAGATGTATGTATTACCACATTTAACCTCTTTGTCATCTAGTCAACTTTTAGTAACACTTCCACGGAGATTGTACGCCTCGTTTTCCCTCAATCTCGGACGACAGTGACTCATTAATAAATGATCTGGGAAATTTAGAATAAAATATAAGGCGAAGTGGGGTGTAACGGCATTAAAGATAACTAAAGAGAAGCGTGCGTTATACAGCAGACTCAGAGGTTGAAATTACTCCTTGTCCTTGACATACAGGCATAACAGATACCAGTATAGAAGTCAACGTTAAAACAACAGAAATAGTATTACCAAAAAATAATATTGCTACAAACAGTACAAATTATAGATTTTATAAACATAATGTGCAGACTTTAGTTAATATGCTCGATTTGACGGGAGCGCCCTCTGGGTGCCGGGGGGAGAGAAGCCGCCGATACGTACGGACTTCATGGAGCGGGGTCGGCTGTCGATGTAGCCGTCATCTGAAACATCAAGCAAAGAAACTGAACGTTTGACCACGGAAACACTAAACTAACATGGGGGTGCGTGTCATGGTATCTGAAGGGCCTTAAACTGGAGTGATAGATTGAGTGTTCACGGAGAAGAGTTTAGTAGTGGCATATGTCTTGAGATGTGATGTGAGGTTAGGCTGTGAGACGTGTATAATAAAGAGAGTGAAATAGAAAGATAAAGGTGAAGGTGACGTGAAATTGGGTTTAACGTCGCGTTCAAGATTATTGCACTAATATAGAGACGTGAATGCACTGTGTGTGTGTGTGTGTGTGTGTGTGTGTGTGTGTGTGTGTGTGTGTGTGTGTGTGTGTGTGTGTGTGTGTGTGTGTGTGTGTGTGTGTGTGTGTGTGTGTGTGTGGTTCTTTGAACTTTGAACTAGCCCGGACCTTCCGCTCTCCGGGTGGACGCTCTACCTCTAGACCACGGAGGCGGTAGAAAGAAAATGAAAGAGTGAAACTGAAAAAATAGGGTAGCATTTACTCACTCTTATTCCAGAAGTCATCCTTGTAGTCGCCTGACGTTTGGTAGACGTTGTTGCGGAAACCTTCCGGGGGAGTCTTCACCCTGGACGAACAGAACATGACACATTTGCAGTTAATCGAGTAACGCTCTATTTCGACATTGACCAAGAGGATTGAGCTGCCGAAATTATTATTATGTTCGACATTAAACACGAATGAAAATATAGCGTCATATTAAACCTGATTCTAGATTCGAAATGTATTACAAGAATTAATTCATGAAGAAGTATCTTGTTTGTTTGTTGTTTAAAGCCGCACTAAAAAATAATCGACAATCCAGTGATCGACATCATGAGCATAGATCCACGAAATTGGGATACGATAATATGCATCAAACAAGTCAGAGAGCCTGACCATCCGTTCCATTAGTCACCTCTTACGACCAGCATAGCTGCCTTTACGGCAAGCATCGGTTGCTGAAGAACTATTCTGTCCATTGCTCTGTTTGATAATGCATCATATGCGATTCTCGAAATTTGGACTAAGAAGTAGTGCAGACTTATCCTTGGCTTGTGTGGGTAGTGATTCCTAATTCTACCAATGCATGAAAGTGTATAGTAGAAAGTGTTAACTTGGAGATGTCGACATTGAATCCTTACATGCCTTTCGTAAAGGAAGCACCCATGAGTCTCTTTATTATCCACACTTTATATTAAGCTCTACTAATATACTGAGTAGCTTCTTTATCTAAAATCGTGTCGGGACACTGACAGGATCAAGATGACATAAACAACAATGCCCTGTCATGACATTTGTGACGCCATTCAACAAGGCGGTATCAATGAGGTCACTATTACTTCAACCATAGTATTTACATCCCCTCAAAAAGGTTGGTGAAATCGTTATTACCCGTGAGCCTTAAGTGTACTTACGGGCCGAATTCTGGTCCCTCAGGTCTAGGTTTCACTTGATTTGGTTCCCTGATTAAAAAATATACTATAGTGAGTTTTATCCAAAAGATTTTACAAAGTCAGTCATGTAGCATTATCAAGTACAGATGAGAGAAGCTGGCGTAATTTCTCAATGGAAGGAGTAGTATAGTAATATGGCGGCAAAAACATTTCTCTACTTGACTGAAAATAAGGACGTTCCAGGGCAAAATGAAACTCATCATCAATAGAACGAGTATTACAGTCTGTGCATAAAACATTTGGGGATCATCATATGCTTTCAACCGTTTCTACTGCACTTTCAACTTAAGTGATACACAACGGAAATTTGCAATATACTCTTACTACATCCTTAAAAGGAAATAATTCTATTACATACTTTTCAACACCCATTATAGTTTTGCTAGAAGCGGCGTAAAACCTCACGCACTCACTCGCTTTAGTTTTGAAACCACAATACAAAAAAAGAGGAACTTGTTATCTTATCATACCAATTCTGCAACTCTATATCTTTACATCCTTATGAAAACATGCTCAAAAAAGTTTTAACATTACCACAATCCTGAGTGATCCAGACAAATCAGAAACCAGTTACAAATAATTATCATCAAAAATCCGCAAATTATCACAGCAAGCACTTGGATACCTGGGCCTTTCCGTATGAAGAAATCGGCACCAGTAAACTATACATCGACCGTAATAATCAACACACATATATATAACTTACTGTATAAATGTGGGTATGGTTACATCTGGGAAAACCAATGTTTCTTAGAGAATCATGCCATGTTCATATCGAAAATAAGGCAGACGCTTTTTGACATGTACTTTCAAACATGGAGATCTACTGTAGATGTTTCTAGCAAATGCGAATATTATAGATATTTTAAAATGCAATTATGCGCAGAAAAAATATAACTGATGTAAATATAAGAAAATGCAGAATATCATTAACACAATTTAGATGGCAGGCACAACAAAATACCCAAATGTTTAAGATTATGTAAACAATGTTCTTTAAATGTTGTCGAAGATGAATTTCATTTTCTACTTGTATGTTGTAAATATGATAATTTAAGGAAAAAATATACTGAACAGAAATACTATGTACATCCAAATAAATACAAGTTTATCTCTTTAATATCACATGTGAGCAAAACGGCTTTACAAAATCTCTCTCTCTTTATATATCATGCCATGTTATTAAGAAATGAATCCTTGTAACATTTCTAACCGCTTCCACATTGTCATGTATTCTGTACTATGGGCCTGTGGCCTTACAGTTATATATGAATAAACTGATTGAAGATTCCCGACATGGGTACAATGTGTGAAGCCCTTATCTGGTGACCCCCGCCGTGATATTGCTGGAATATTGCTAAAATCGGCATAAAACCATACTCACTCACTCACTCACTCACTCACTCACTGATATGTCTCTTGCAAGAATTATTTGGTAAATGAGAGCTTCAACTCACTGCGGTCCGTCACAACAGTCTCCACACATTCCTCCTCTTCCTCCACCTCCCGCACCGTCCGGTCCACCCGCTCCACATATCGCACCTGATCCGTTGGGTCCCGTGGGACCACAGCATGTACCGTACCTACAGAACCTATACAGGAAGTAGCCAATAAGCAACAACAGCAGAAGGACCAGCAGTGCGATCAGAAGACCCAACACTGCCGCACCGGCTGGAGACGAAAATGTGTCAGAAGCAGACACTGCAGCAGCTGTCGTGGTTGTCGTGGTTGTTGTTGTTGTCGTAGTCGTTGTAGTGGTGGTTGTAGCAGGAGTTGTAGTGGTGGTGACGAAGCTCACATAGTATGTTGTCGTTGCAGTACGGGCTGGACTTCCTCCATCGAACGCTATAATTTCCAGTCGACAATCAGAGCAGTCTTTATTAGCCGAGAAGCGGTTCAGGTATGTTATCCGGCCGTCATCAGTGAATATGACGTTGCTTCCCAAATTGATGCTACTTTGGAGGCGTAAAGTGACGTCATTGTTGGGCGAGGTTAAGTCGGCGTCGGTAGCGGTAATCGTAGCCAGCGTTGTGGGTGGCGTCAACACGTTCTGAGTAATCACGACTGACGTAGGGCTGCCCCCGAAGTCTGGTGTTTGGGTGTTCTGGTCTACAACCGTCACCTGGATGAGAGAAGAACCTGTTGCCCCTTTGTCGTCCGCTACCTCTATTGTCAACGTCACTGAAGACGGGAAGGCGCCACCATCGACGACGTAGTTGTTACTGATTCTAAGGTTGTCGTTCTCCAGGGAAAATAAGTTGCTGTTGTTTGCGGAATTGAGTGATGGGGACAGAACGATGTCCCCTTCTGGATCTCTAATGGTCAGACCGAGCGCACACGTGGAGCCAAATTGCTGTAAGGATCAACAAGCTTTTAATATATTGATATGTAAAACTGATCTAACACTTATGTATGACTTGTATAGACATACTTGCTGAAAACACATTACTTATGGAAAGCATTTTGTCGCTTATATCATTTAGAAAACCAAATTATCGCATGGGTGTCTGAGTAGCAGAACTGTATCATTCTACTTTAATTTCATATTTTTGAACTGACATGTACTTACATTGCCTTCAAACAACGTGCAGTAATGAACAGGTCTGCTGAAGAACGGCGGTTCGTTTACATTGGCGACAGTGAGGAGGATGTAGGCATTGACAGAGGGAAGGTAGCCGTCGAAGAGGGAGAAGGAGAGGTTTAGACGACTGACTGACTCGGCGTCCAGGAGAGTTGCACCGTTAGCAACTGCGTTTAACCGGACTTGTCTGGCTGAAACAATACAATGACCTTTATTTCGCATGGTGTATCTTTCCACATTGACGTTTTCATGACATTGTTTACGTATATCCGTCGAAGAATGAAATGGTTTTGAACAACTTTTCTTCATACACATAAAATGAAAAAAGGATAATTTAATAATTATGGGTATCGGCGAATTATTGCAATACACCTTTTCATGTTACAATATGTTCCCAATGCATTTAAAAAAATGTAACTTGTGTTAATTTATTGAGTCTCATCTAAGGAAGGGATTCCTTAATGACTTAATAAACAGAGATTCTTTATTGTCACACAGCAAGATCTAACCGAGTATCTATTGCAACTGCTCCGAACACAGTCGTTTTGGAGGCGGCAGTGTCATGGTTTCCTGAATCAACACACACGGGTTTGGCCCTGTTTCAGCAAGATAACGCTGGTCGTCTTTAGAACATATACATGTTTAATAGAGTGCATACTATGAGGCTATAAGTCAAATATGGTTTAGGTGTTTCATATATATTGAAATTAGATTGCAAATCAGATTCACAGGCACTCCCGTAACGCATATACCACCAGGGCGTACAACGTAGTTGGTACTACTATAGTAACAAAAACATGTACAAACCAAGCTGATGGTGATTATATAGGTGATACCTCTGACGACAATAGTCTTCGTAGCATAGGTGATAGCGTGACGGACAAATCAAGAGATTGCAAGTTCGAATCAAACTTTAAACATTCTTTGTGCTGTTGCTGCATGCTTAATAGTCTTTTCTCTCATAACAGGAAGCTTACAATGAAAGTATATCTGATTACTACTTAGACGTTTTAGACCGCCTCCGTTGTCTAGTGGTAGAGCGTCCGCCCGGAGAGCGGAAGGTCCGGGGTTCGATCCCCGGCCGCGTCATACCAAAAGACGCTAAAAGATGGTACTTGTTGTTACCCTGTCTGGCGCTCGGCATTAAGGGGCTAAAACAAGGACTGGTCGGCTCGGAGTCAGTATACTGTGTCTGAGTGAGGTTTTCATGTTAAACTGCGGCATGGTATCTCAGTGGGCTAGCACTATAAATCGGCATCAGTCCGGACTCGTACAAGCAGCCACACACACACACACACACACACACACACACACACGTGCATGCACGTCACTATATAAGTGCAATAATCTTGGACGCGACGTTAAACACAATTTCACCTCACCTCACCTCACTTAGACGTTTTAGTCACGATAGGCCACATATATACAAATACGAACTGGTGAACTTTACAAGCAATTCCTATCACTGTAATTGATTGCCTATCCTGAAGTCGGAATCGTAGAAATATTATTCAACATATTTTATTGTCCAGAAGACAAAGGGGTTGGGTGCAACACTTATTACTTATAAAGAAAGCTTTCATTATATCATGGTGTGTCAGTATAATGTTGGAGGAAATCTCAATGTGGCGCAGGTAACAAATCATGAGCCAACCATGAGCGGATCCCGGCCCTGTTCGAGTCTATTTAAGATCAAGACCTCACTTATGTGCGAACAATGCCTGCCATACGAATCTCCCATTGTTACTGTAGCAAAACAGAGCCTGCAATATTTCGTCTGCCAGTTATGAATTTTGAAAGCCGCCATTCAGGAACATGAACTTATTAAGAGTTGGTTTGATTTGGGCAAAGAGTTGCAGGGTTTTGAGTAACTGCTCTGCTGTCTCCGACGACATACCTGTATGCAGTCATAGATATTTAATGTCGACGGAAATACTCACTTCCAGTCTGGTAGACGAACTTTGAGGCTTCCGCTACAGGATCTACTGTGAAGACAGGAATTAATGTCTGGAAGATGTCGGGGTCCGATAACGTCAATGTGGCTATCAGAGTCCCGGCCGGTGCGTCTTCGTTCAGAGTGATGTTGAGTGGGAGGTTCTGGATACTGGGACGAGTGTTCAAGTCTGGTGGCAGTGCCAAAATATACAGTTTATTGTCATCGATATAATCCTGGATCAATGAGTGAATAACAGTTCATACGAGGTTCGTGTGACATTATGATGTTACGCATTCTGCAGCAATGTTTACGTTACATAGCCTGCGAGTTCCTGCAGTCCATAAAGTACTTATCACGCATGAAGCAGAGGATTGTTTGTTTGGTATTTAACTCCGCACTCAGCAGTATTCCGCTATATGACGGCGGTCTGTAAATAATCGAGTCTGGACACGACAATCCAGTGATTGACATCATGAGCATCGATCCACGCAATTGGGATACGATGACATGCTTCAACCAAGTCAGTGAATCTGACCACCCGATCCCGTGAGTCGCCTCTTATGGCATGCATGGGTTGCTGAAGACCTATTCTACCCCGGATCTTCACGGTAACTTCTGATTCCGAGATTAGGTAGTCTAGCTTCGGTTATTGTTGGTTTATAGCCTGTTTTTAATTACTAAGTATCAATGAATTGTATATTGATGTGTTTTAAATTTTAATCAGGTTTTACTGTTTAACTGTCCTTTGTCGACAGATATTTTATAACCATGTTATTATCGCTTTGTCAATGCGATGTAAATGTGTACGCACTCATTCACATAGTGCCTCTGCCACAGGCCATAGAGATGTGGCTATTCGTCACATCTTCCCAGCCCATCAGCAAATTATATGTGTTCATCATCTACTGTATAGAACCCTGCGGGGTTCGTCGATTCTTATTCACGAACCCACATTTAATCGTACATGTATGTCCCCCTCACGTAACGTCGCTCTGCATAAGTAGAAACATAGACCCTGCCCGCACGACTAAGTCTTGAAGTCACTTGAAGTCATTACCAATACCCGTGGGGATCCCGGATCAGAATAGGCCTAAACTACCCCATGCTCGTTGTAAGAACCCACTTTAGTGAGGATAGGGTGGGACAGTCGTTTTGTCCTCTGATCCTTTACTTACTTATGATGTTGACAGTGACGGTGAGGGGTCCTACAATGTGCTTGCCGTCACTGACGTTGACCTTGATCGTCACAGGGGTCACAGTGGCCGTTAACAAGTGTTTGGCTGCGGAAATGACTCCGTCCTCTGCAGACAGAATTCGTGGAATCCATTACCACTAACATGAAAAATGTTGCTTTGGAATCCTCGAAAAGAAAATAATTTTTCGTTGGATAATAGGCGTCTATTGTTTTATTTCTTGTTTAACGACTACCAACAAGACATATAACACTGTCAGGTCTTATATTGTAACATATGACACATTCAAACAGTTTCCTACACGTTTCCATGAATGATTAAACTCCTACGTTTGGATGATAATGTTTTATTTAATTTGCTCCAAAAGCAATCAAATTCTTCTAATTTCGAACACAAATCAAGAATATAGTAACAAATATAAATCAATTAGTGTTTGGTTGTGATAATAACTCCCTTTGGTCTAACGAAAGCCGAAGTTACAACAAATAGTACTACATATTCTCAAACACGTTTATTTTATATACTTACGTTGACTGATCTGGAAGTAGTCAACTGTGGCTGGGTCGACGGTCATCACATACGTGATGGGATCTGTCTCGTTGTCGGTCACTTGGACATCATACACCAGACTTCCGACCGCCCCGTTTATAGCATCCAGGGTAACCGTCACTACAAATGGGGAGCTTCTGTTCAGTACATGTCGTTAGTCTATATGTATATGTATCCAGGTAAATGAAAGCAGGGTTATAGAGAAAACATGGAACAAGAACATGATGGAGAAGGTGGAGAAGGAAAAGGTTACATTCATGCATGTACTATTGGTCACCAAAGGGAGGCATCCGCATTGGAACAAGTTCTCGTCAAATGACTGTCGCGTTGCACAAACACAACCGTAATTGAAATACGTGCATAAGTACTGTCCACTATACAATAACCCCTTTTTTTAAATCGGCCGTCGTGTTATGCGAATTTTATGTGGCATGATCGTGCCAATCACTTATTACAAGTCAGAGGGGGCACGGGTGGCCCAGTCGTCTAAGGCGCCGCGATTCGCTGTGCAGAGTTACGTCCCTTAGGCACGCCAGAAACCTATGATTGTGGGTTCGAATCCCGGTTCGCCCCGATCATGTTTCCAGGTTTGTCAGCACCATACCCGTGCTCGTGGGTTTCACCGAAGTGGTAAACGTCTGAGACCTGCATCACTTCCGTCTTTCCTCCCACATTAAGCTGACACGCCGTGATATAACTGGAATACTGTTAAAAACGGCATTAAATCCAACTCACTCACTATTACACATCAGCACAGCTCTGCACTACCCATCATATGTTGCTGGAAATATTTTGGTGAGCTGAAGAACACGAACCAAACTATTCGTCATGGACAGACAGATGCTGGAGGTTAAACTTACACAACTAATACGCCATTACGGAGAGGAGGAATACTCTTGTTTCTTTAGGCGAGTTAAAGAGGATAATATTATGGTTAAATAATAAGTAATATTTTTTTTATCTTTTCCATCCACACAAGATGAACTAAGAAAAATTAATGCAGCAGCTACCTCCGGGAAGACCGGCCACGACGGGAGCCTGGTTTGGGATGATGTCAACCTCCAGTGTCTGAGACGGACTCTTAGTGACGGTGTCAATGGCGACACATTGGACCTCTATTCTGTACGTCCTGATGACGCTGTAGTCCAGGTTCTGTCCTTGGTTGGGGACGTACACAATGTAGAATCCTGTCACAGAGTTAAAGGGGAAGTGTACACACAATAATCACTTTCTATCTTTTTCTAAACAAAACGCAATTTTAGAATAAGTTAGTATCTGTGTTTGAAAATATACACTCATTTTTTTCACAGTGAAAGTAGGAAGCTCACAATAGTGTGAAAATGATATGCCGTTATGAGGCCTTCGTTTTTCGAGCTAAACAGGCCTGAGTTATCCCCCTTAGATTATGACGTAATTGGTGCCAATTCAACTGGGTCCCTGTCTATTCTGAACGCAAAAGATATCAAGTACCAGTTTGTGGTAAAACAACATGGCCTACGACACACTCCGGCGCACTGGTGACTCAGCATAACACTATGCTGGCTGGCATCTGAGACGCTAGAATCACACACCTGTATCTACACCACGTTAAGCGGCTCTAACAAAGCATAATGACGTCATAATGTTTATCAATTGGCACCAATGACGTCATATTGTAAGGGGCATATGCCATGGTGTTTTTGTTATGGAAAAAGAACACTTGGTAAATGTGAAAAATATAAATCATTTTAATGCAAAAAATATGTCAATTATTTGTGATATTTTTATATTTTTGTCTATGACACTTCTAGGTTAACACTTTTAATGTGGAAAAAGTACAAGAAAAATAGGTTCATTTCCGTGTGAACTTGCCCTTTAACATGTTCAAATACAACTTAATACTATCGTTGTCATATGGCCCCGGACATAAACTTTGCTTAGCTACCTACATACTGCGCTCCTTAATTTGTGTAGTTGTCGCTAACACTTCCTAAAAAGGAACATCATAATATGATGACTCATCTATGTATTGTCCTCAATTTCTAACGAGCAGTGACATTGCAGTTATAACGTTACCGATACTATTGCGCCAAGCAACGAGGTTACAATGCAGTGACATTATTGTTTAAAACATGTAGCGGCACTGACCCCATTCGCCTTGTCACAAGCAATACCAAAATAAAGGGAAACAAAATGAAGTAAATTTAAGTTGCAACGTTATTATCAAATGCTGAAGCACTTTAGCAGAAAACTAATGCCAGCTGCTAGACATGAGACATATAGAAATTAATACCATGTGGATTCTCAAAAACTCAAAGGATTTGCTTGGTTTTTAAAATCTCAGAAAAGAGCCAGATTCAATTATTTTAAAACATTTGATTTTTCAACAGAACTATCCCACATGGCAAACGTAAGGATAAACTTTCATTCCTTGATTTGTTACAAAACGTAGTGGCCATATAGTTACATATCTATGTTCAGGTCAATTTGTCAAAAATGAAAGCAAATGCAAATTGAAGTTTACTGAGAAAACAATATGTATAATGCAATATGTATAACATGTATTTACAATTTGAGGGTAAGACAATTAGGCAAGAAGTCGGCATCCCCATGGGCATCAATTGTGTTCCCCTTCTTGCCGATCTGTTTCTTTATTTATATGATTGCGAATTTTTGCTCGGACTAGCAATGTTAAAACAAGGTAATTTGGACCAGAAGTTTAACCTAAGCTTGAGGAATATCGATGATCTGATATCGTTCAATTACCATCAAATAGCCAATTCCCTTCCACTGATTTACCCACCTGAACTAGAAATCAAGGAGACCTGTGAGACTGCCTCATCTGTTTCATGAATATATCTATGCATAAAGATTCAGAGTGACAAAACTCCCTCCACAAGACTATGTGACAACAGAGGTGACTTCAATAGTCAACATATACATTCCCTTTATGTCGAGCAATATTCCTGCAGCTCCATCCAGCCATTGGTGTCTATATTTCACTACTTTTGAGGTACAACCGGGCATGCTCTTTCTGCTTAGATTTCAAAGAGCGTCATGCGACCCCTACTTAGACGCTGTTTAATCAAGGTTACAATATTCAGGGCACCAATAAAGCTTTCAAAACGTTGCTCATTAACACCTGCTCATGATATAATGGGAATCGTACAATCGACTCTGCTTTTGGCAGATATTTGTATGAATATGGAAAGGTTTTTGTCGCTTTATTATTTTAGATATGCATATGCAGCTGATTATCTATTTCGCTAAATGAACCTTAACCTGTTCACATGGTTCTGGATGACCGAAGACTTTGGGATGAGGCGACACAGGAGCAATATTTCTTCTCAAATTATAAACAAATTAGAAATCACAACATTGAAAAAATTGAAACCAAATTCTTCCCTAAACTTAACTAAAGAGCAGCTAAGAGCAAAACTTGCTATTCGACAATTTTGTTTTTTTATACTGCCGTACAGGCGATGTTTCGAGAAATACGGCAAGATAACGGTTGGCTGCGTAAGCGTGATCTCAACTGGGCTAAATAAGACGACAAAGCGAACCGTAGGAGTTCATTGCAATGTGGAATAAAGTGTCCGTGAAACATTTACGACAGTACATATGTGTACTGGCAAGATTCACGCTTGTTTTTCATCAGTCTTGACTGTGTTGACATTTTCAGCAGTTGCACTGTGTGAACTCTAAATGTGGTGCCAGAAACCCAACTTGAACTCGCTGTCTGCTGCACAGTTGTTTCGTCTACAAAGCACTTGTTGCTTTAACAGGGAACTAGTAGATCGAGCGAAATAAACGAGAGATTACGGACAATTTAATTTGTTATATATATTAGCGTTTTCTCAGGAATAATAAGGTACAGCTTTACTGTTAAAACACAAATGCGGCCTTTCAATTTGAAAAAAACATATCATTACATCATTTTGTCGTACTGTACTCTGGAGGAAAACGAAAGGGAAACATCTTTTTTCCAGCGGCATAACATCGCTGACTTCCGCTGTTTTTTGGTCAACAAACCTTGACCTTTCTCTCCGTTGCTAGACCTCCTCCGCGGTCTAGTGGTAGGAAGGTCCGGGGTTCGACCCCCCTGCTGCGTCATACCAAAAAACGTTAAAAGATGGTACTTGTTGTTACCCTGTCAGGCGCTGGGCATTAAGGGGCTTAAAACAAGAGCTGGTCAGCTCGGAGACGGTATGCTGTGTCTGAGTAGGGTACTCATGTTAAACTGCGGCATGGTATCTCAGTGGGCTAGCACTATAATTCGGCATCAGTCCGAACTAGTACAAGCAGCCACACACACACACACACACACACACACACGTGCATGCACGTCACTATATAAGTGCGACGCGACGTTAAACCCAATTTCACCTCACCTCTCCGATGCTATGGAGACGGTACTAAAACTGTAAATATCGGAAAAAACTGAATTTGTTTTCACTCGGGACATATACTTCATATTAAAGTGAAGTTCGTATAATATCCTATAAAATCAATATGATATGAATAATAAATGCCAATGAAAAAAACCTGCCGCAAATACAACTTACTGTTTGTATTGGTCAGAAAATTATTGTTTATTCTGAACACATCGAAGGGCCCTCCGGTTATTAAATTGTTGTTATTGTTGAGACCATTAAGAAACACGGTGCCATCGTTAGTGATTCCCACCAAATTGCAGGTGCCACACTCCATGTTAGTAGATCCACTGTCTGTACAGTTGATCAGTGCTAGCGTCGTCTGTACCGTGTTGTCCTCGTGAAGGTTGACAACTTGGAAGGGCTCAATTAGGGGCATGGGCATTGCAGTCTGAAACATAGGCATAATTCACTGTTACGGTGTCAACATTTAAACAACAACATAATCTGTATTATTATATAAGATAGCTACGCTATAAATCGCGAAGAACAATGAAAGACAAAGCGTGGTTAATTTCACGATAAAACATTTTTTTTATATTATGGCGTCATTTCTGGAGATTCGAACATGTCCTGGCAACTTTATGACGTCATGTACCCTTCCATAATCCTAAGAAATATCTGCTGAAAGCAGATTTTATGTACGACGAGAATATTGTTTCCAAATAAAAGGAAAGATACGTTATGAAATACATTTGTTGCAGTGAGAACGGCATCAAACATGTAATTACTAGTATCTGTATTTATGCCTGCATTTCCATTCAGATAGAAGGTGAGATCAAGGTTATGCAGATGAGGAACCGGTTACGCCCACGATCTCTCCACTTAACGTTTAACGCCCTCATACTTAATCACTCTCACTCAATCGAGCTCAACCGAACAATCTCCAGGGCTCGAGCTTACACTCGTTCTAGTTCCCATGCCTACCCTTACATTCATTCACTAGCTCCCATGCCTTCACTTACACTCAATCTTCAGCTCCCATGCCTACGCTTACACTCAATCTTCAACTCCCATGCCTACACTTATACTCAATCTCCAGCTCCCATGCCTGCACTTACTCTCAATCTTCAGCTCCCATGCCTACACTTACACTCAATCTTCAGCTCCCATGCCTACACTTATACTCAATCTTCAGCTCCCATGCCTACACTTATACTCAATCTCCAGCTCCCATGCCTACACTTACACTCAATCTTCAGCTCCCATGCCTACACTTATACTCAATCTCCAGCTCCCATGCCTACACTTACACTCAATCTTCAGCTTCCATGCCTACACTTACACTCAATCTCCAGCTCCCATCCTACACGTACACTCAATCTCCAGCTCCCATGCCTATGCTTACACTCAATCTCCAGCTCATATGCCAACACTTACACTCAATCTCCAGCTTCCATGCCTACACTTACACTCAATCTCCAGCTCCCATCCCTACACGTACACTCAATGTCCAGCTCCCATGCCTATGCTTACACTCAATCTCCAGCTCATATGCCAACACTTACACTCAATCTCCAGCTCCCGTGATTTAACTTACATTCACTCTCAAGCTCCCATGCCTACACTCAAAATCTATCAATAGCTCCTATGCCTAGGCATACACTCAATCTCCAGCTTCCGTGATTACACTTACATTTTCACTCTCTAGCTTCCATGCTTACACTCACAATTAATCTATAGCTCCCATGCCTACACTCACAATTCATCTATAGCTCTTATGCCTAGGCATACACTCAATCTCGAGCTCCCGTGATTACACTTACATTCACTCTCTAGTTCCCATGCCTACACTCACAATTCATCTATAGCTCCTATGCTCAGGAATACACTCAATCTCCAGCTCCCGTGATTACACTTATATTCACTCTCTAGGTCCCATGCCTACACTCACAATTTATCTATAGCTCCTATGCCTACACTCACAAATAATCTATAGCTCCCATGCCTACACTCACAATTTATCTATAGCTCCATGCCTACACTCACAATTAATCTATAGCTCCTATGCCTACACTCACAATTAATATATAGCTCCCATGCCTACACTCACAATTTATCTCTAGGGATACACTCAATCTCCAGCTCCCGTGATTACACTTACATTCACTCTCTAGCTTCCATGCCTACACTCACAATTAATCTATAGCTCCCATGCCTACACTCACAATTTATCTCTAGGAATACACTCAATCTCGAGCTCCCGTGATTACACTTACATTCACTCTCTAACTCCCATGCCTACAGTCACAATTAATCTATAGCTCCCATGCCTACACTCACAATTAATCTATAGCTCCCATGCCTACACTCACAATTAATCTATAGCTCCCATGCCTATACTCACAATTTATCTTTAGCTCCCATGTCTACACTCATAATTTATCTATAGTTCCTATGCCTAGGCATACACTCAATCTCCAGCTCCCGTGATTACACTTACATTCACTCTCTAGCTCCCATGTCTACACTCACAATTAATCTGTAGCTCCTATGCCTACACTTACATTCACTCTTTAGGTCTTATGCCTACAGTTACATTCACTCTTTAACGCCCATGCCTTGTATTACACTCAGTCCCTAGCCCCCGTGCCTGCAACTACACTCAATCTTCAACTCCCGTGATTATGTTCTCTTTCTCATGCTCACAATCTGGTCACGATCACGGCATTGTGCCTGCGCTCATACAAACACTCACAATCTATCGAATAACCGCGCTGTCACTAACATTCACTCTCAAGTTATCATGGAACGTAAATGACAGAAATAAAAAAAAAATGTTTGTCAAAACAGATTCCAGATTTCCAGATTGCCCTTGTGGGAAAACAGCGATGATAATTAGACGAATGGATCACTGAAAACCAGTGATGACACCAGGTGTTCGCGAAAAGGGTAAGCATGTCCTGCCCTACCAGCAGCATACGCCACAGACAACGATTGGCAACAAAAGTAAGTGTTTTTCTTGCCTGACTCCTGCAATACGACGGCGACCTGAAAACAAGCGAGTCCTAACCAGACGGGGCGGTCGGGTAGCCTAGTGGTTAAAGCGTTCGCTCGTCACGCCGAAGACCCGGGTTCGATTCCCGACATGGGTACAATGTGTGAAGCCCATTTCTGGTGTCCCCCGCCGTGATATTGCTGGAATATTGCTAAAAGCGGCGTAAAACCATACTCACTCACTCACTCACTCCTAACCAGACAATCCAGTGATGGACCAGACAATCCAGTGACACGATAACGCGTTTACTGATTACTGATAAATCACGCTTTAGTGTTGACACCAACTCTCACACCCTCCCATTAGTGCTTTATCCTAATTAGTTTTGACACCAACTCTCACTCCCTCGACTAGTGCTTTATCCCAATTAGTGTTGACAACAACTCTCACTCCCTCGACTAGTGCTTTATCCCAATTAGTGTTGACACCAACTCTCACTCCCTCGACTAGTGCTTTATCCCAATTAGTGTTGACACCAACTCTCACTCCCTCGACTAGTGCTTTATCCCAATTAGTGTTGACACCAACTCTCACTCCCTCGACTAGTGCTTTATCCCAATTAGTGTTGACACCAACTCTCACTCCCTCGACTAGTGCTTTATCCCAATTAGTGTTGACACAACTCTCACTCCCTCGACTAGTGCTTTATCCCAATTAGTGTTGACACCAACTCTCACTCCCTCCCATTAGTGCTTTATCCCAATTAGTGTTGACACCAACTCTCACTCCCTCGACTAGTGCTTTATCCAACATTCACTCTCACACATGTATACTCACTTTCACACAGTCGAACTAGCGCCAATTCACTCTCTGTACACTGACTCGCATCTAAGTCAAGTCTAAGTCCTACTAGCATAAATTGTAAAACATAATTGTAAATACTTCAGTTATGAATATCTTAATCATTTTTAATCGTTCGTATCATTTTCTTTGATAATCGTCATTTACCATTATTAATGTACGTATCATGAGAATAATACTTACTACATTATAAAGGCTTGGGATGGACATCAGGAATACCAGGAGGAGCAATAGTCTTTGGCTGTTAAATCCATGCATTGCGGCCATTTTGACCGTCATTTCTCGACTGTCTGACTCAGAGTGAATGTTTATGTTGACGCACCATGTATCGCAAAACCCTCCTTTAATAATGCCTATTATAGCCTTTCTATTCTAGACAAATGATCAGCGGGATTTTTTTATTTATTTTGACAGGCCAACTGAAGGATCGCCTAGCCATTGACAACGTATCAATAGCTCTAAACACATGCACACAAAGTGGACCTGGTTAGTTTGGGTCAGGTTAGTTTTTTTTTATATTTTGGATTTAATAGTATGAATACATTTAAGTTATTGACGTATTCAAACTTATATTGAAATGAGCTTATTGTCAGCGTTCATTATTATCGTGCTGACATTAACTTTCAGAGGTCTTTTGCCAACAGGGTGCGACAAAGTGAAATGGAATACATTAAAGCGTGTTTGAGTGAAATGTATTTATACCGCCAACATTAAAGTACAGTTCGTAATGATCAATGTGTATATGTGAGCTTACTGTGTGTATCATTGTTAGAACTGCTGGCGACGATACACATTAAAACAGTCTTGAAAACCAATTTCGTCTACTTCTCAATTAACTTGTGTCTACTGTCTACTGTTTTGTCGCATGTCTGTGTTTGCTTTTGATGAAAATGACAAAATTAATTCCTGATGGTATCCATGCTAATTAGCCTTTAAGTAATAAAGCTAACAAGATACTTAGCAGTATACTCAACATGTAGAAGTATCACATAATAATGAACGGCCACTCCTCCATTATGTATATCAGATACACATACACAGAAATTAGGTTGTCCATGTAGGAGCCTACATATTGCAGTATTATTTTATTAAGTATCTTAATGTCTGAGAGCCTGTATGGATTCCGGGTTAGAAGGTCTCTGGAACCTATTTTGGTCGTAAGAGGCAACTTATTGTAGCGGGTGGTCAGGCTCGGTGACTTGGCTGGTTGCGGCGTGTATGTATATCCCGACGACGTGGAAAGTTGCTCATAATGTCAATCACTGGTTTGTCTGGCCCAGATTCGTTCATTTGCATCATAGCAGCAATATTGAGGCGTTAAACAACACACAAAACAATACAAACTAAAAACAAAATGTCTGAATACTAAACATGTCCTATATGGACATGGACGAATCCATCAATGCATATTTGAAACCAATGGTGATATACTCGATGAGGTTCATGATCTCATAAGGTACGTGGCCCGTGAAGATCCGGGGTAGAATAGGTCTTCAGCAACCCATGTTTGCCGTAAAAAGCGACCATGCTTGTCGTAAGAGGCGACTAACGGGATCGGGTGGTCAGGCTCGCTGACTTGGTTGATGCATGACATCGTATCCCAATTGCGTAGATTGATGCTCATGATGTCAATCACTGGATTGCCTGGTCCAGACTCGATTATTTACAGACCGCCGTCATATAGCTGGAATATTGCTGAGTCAACCAAGTCAGCTAGCCTGACCACCCGATCCCGTTAGTCGTCTCTCACGACAAGCATAGTCGCCTGTTTCGGCAAGCATGGGTTAACTTCTTTGATAGGCATTTAGAAGTTGGAGTACTAAGTAAGGATAAGAATTTATGGATGAACAACTTCTTTATTACAATTAAGAGCGACGTTTCGGTGTACTCCAGTATAACAATATCTACTCTTCTGTATAAACTTTGCCTCCTACTTGTATATATACTTGCCTACTACACTCTGTAAATCACTTGCTTGATAACGGTGTTAGAACCTACACCGAAACGTCGCTCTTAATTGTAATAAAGAAGTTGTTCATCCATAAATTCTTATCCTTACTAAGCATGGGTTGCTGAAGACCTATTCTACCCCGGATGTTCACGGGTCAAATGACGCTGTAGGTAGATACAGGTCCCAATGTCCTGGTTTCGTGTCTATACATGTATGGGATGTGAGTGAGTTGGTTTTATGCTGCTTTGAACATTATGTCAGTTATAACACGACGTGTCAGCTTGATGTATTACAATGCAGGTAATAATATACCAAGGGTCAAAATCAGGGCGAATCGTAAATACGAACCGGCGATCGTAGGATCCTGGAACGCGTTGACACGTATTTCTACACACACACAATATATATATATATATATACTCCTTTGAATACGCATATATATATACGCATATAAGAGTATATTGTGTTTGAATACGCATATATATATATATATATATATATATATATATATATATATATATATATATGCGTATTCAAAGGAGTACTGTTAATCGGCAAAACTGCAGGCAGCCAGATTACTTAACGCACAGTGGGTGCGACGTTCATATTTCACCACTGTTCTCTCAGACGCAGTTATTAACTGACGCAATGAACCAAGATACCCTCTAGCCTGCATAACAGTTGGTTCCAACCGACATGGATTGTTAGCTGTTGTCACGTCACGGGCATAAAGCAAACTATAAGATTATTAAGGTGTCCTATCACAACAACCAAGCAGGCCCTATTGAAAGACATACATTCCTAACTGGACTTGCACGCTTCAAATGCTTGATATAATTCATACCCATGTGAAACAGAAACATGCATGCATGAGTTTTGTACCCTCGCTTCGTCCTTCCGATAGGAGTCACTTGCAACTTCCAACATTTTCGACAGCCCTCACCAAGAACTGGTTACTCAAGACTCACCCATCATCTGATACTTGGGTAAAGTTTTAACTTATCCGAAACCACAGCCAAAACGAAAAGCAGGTTAACATAAGATCTTTGCAACAAAAATGTCTTTCCGTTGAATACTGATTCAAAAATATCTTTATCATCTATATCAAATGCTTCATAAAAAGCTGGTCGGGAAATATATTTATTTTTGGACATGAACATTCAGATACACGTTACCTTGGTTATATGGAAAATAATATTTGTAGTTGTGCTCAGACTGTATGCCGATCTGTCGTCATGGGCATATAACAGTGAGAACAGTGAGAAAGATAAGACGGTTAAATTGCATACGGCAAGTGAGGTACGTCTGTATAAAGTGTTACAAAATGTCAAGCAAATGGCATCGCTGTGTTACAAGTCAACATTACATCACACTGCCGTGATGGTCACTATTCATCATTTAAAATTAATTTCTAAATATAAGAACAAATACATAGAGAGAATAATGTTTATTATAGTGTCACATGTTCTATACACTTTATACTAAAACACGTACACAAACAATAAAATAAAACATTCGACCAGGTATGGCCTACGAGACACTAGACAAAAAAGCATACCTATAACGTCATGATCTGGATAACGTAAATTATGACAAATACTAACACAATGTTTAAAGTTAAGATTGGGTTGTGAACACGCACGCACGCACACACACACACACGCCAAATTAACTTACACAGTCACGCACGCAATCATACACAAGCACGTAGACACCCCCCCACACACCCACCCACCCCCACCTCCACTCACACACAAACAAACGCACGCACGCACGCACGCACGCACACACATACACACACACCATAAGTACATTATAACCCCCCCCCCCCCCCCCCCCCCCCCCCACACACACACACACATACCCACACCCAACACAGAGGTGCATTTATCCTCACCGACACTCAACGTAAACATTACAAGTATAATATTAAATATTAATCACAAGCAGAAATACTACTATTCGCGAGCATAATACCATACATGAAGAAAAGCGCACACAGAATTAAATGAGTGTCAAGCGCCTTTGGAACAGTTGATGAATTAACCTACAAAGAGTATAACACCCGTGTTCACATCTGAGTAATGTAATTACTTTCTCGGTTGAAGATAAGTTTAAGAAATCTGGCATACATTCACACATAGCGTTCATTACATCATAACGTAAATCATCATACATGTTACAATCAATTAAAAAGTTGACCTCAGTCAATATATGTACACAATGTGTAAAATGTAATAAATATCATGCTTCCCGTTGTATATAGGTAATAATGCCAACAGAATAACATTTTATCAATTGACCTTTGGTTTCAACGATTAAATTCTTTTGATGCGACGTATTGAGAAATCACATTGAAAGAATATAGAACTTGTCAAACTTCTAAAATGCCACATAGAGATATATAATCGACTGAGTGAATGTTGATGTCAACACTAATTGGGATAAAGCACTAGATGAGGGAGTAAGAGTTGGTGTCAACACTAATTGGGATAAAGCACTAGATGAGGGAGTAAGAGTTGGTGTCAACACTAATTGGGATAAAGCACTAGATGAGGGAGTAAGAGTTGGTGTCAACACCAAGCGTGATTTATCAGTAATCAGTAAACGCGCTATGGTGTCACTGGATTGTCTGGTCCATCATTGGATTGTCAGGTTAGAACTTGCTTGTTTTCAGGCCGCTGTCGTATGGCAGGAGTCAGGCAAGAAAAACACTTACTTTTTGTGCAAATTGTTGTCTGTGGCGTGTGCTACTGGTAGGTCATAAGATGCTAACCCTTTCCTCAAACACCCGGTGTCATCACTGATTTTTAGGGATCCATTCATATAATTGTATTATTGTCACCCCTATTTTGTAGTATGACTGGTTATTTACTGGCGTGGACGTTATATATTTTATTCTGTGCGACTAGTCTACTGCCTCGTATGAAGACGCAATTGAAACATTACTCCTAAAACTATAGTTTAATCGTGTTACCTCAAACTGTATACACACCAGTGTATGTATATTCGTCACTTTGCTAGCATCGTTTAGCTGTTGTCTCGTGCATATCATATATTGATTTCTAACTACTACTGATCGATGAACACTTAAACCTGTGTATTAGATGTAAACAACCACATATCGCGTGGTCATTTAGTAGCTTCCGGTTACATTAGAGACTGCAGCTTTTGTAAACGTACAAGAAATTCTTGGAATGGTGAACGTAACTTTGATAATCTAGACAGTGAATGAGTGAGTGTGGTTTAACGCTTCTACAAGAATTATTTCAGTATTATCATGGTGGGCTATACAAAGAAAGGTTTCACACACAATACCAATCGTTACGAATAGAAACGGATCTTTTGCATGAAAACGAACGTTTTAACAACTATGCATCACTAACGCCTCTGTAATGCTTTAGGGGCGGTCGGGTAGCCTAGTGGTTAAAGCGTTCGCTCGTCACGCCGAAGACCCGGGTTCGATTCCCGACATGGGTACAATGTGTGAAGCCCATTTCTGGTGTCCCCCGCCGTGATATTGCTGGAATCTTGCTAAAGCGGCGTAAAACCATACTCACTCACTCACTCACTCACTCACTCACTGTAATGCTTTAATCTCACTGAAGCTATAATAATTGCAATTCGTGTTTAGATAGGAAGATGTAGATAGATATATTATTTAATGCTATATATAATGATATATAAATCAAAGTGAATTATTAAGATATAAATATATTTAAATTATTAAATAATAAGTACCATCGCTGTAGAAGAGGTTTACAGCCTATAATATTGTTGATTGGTTTCTACCTGAGACCAGTATGACGCAGACGAATAAATACCCATCGAAAAAAACATAAAAGTCACTAAAGAATATAACAATAGTATCATAATAACCTTAATAATAACAGTGAAAATTGATACGTAGCAATATATACATATTAAAGAGATATGATCTAATTCTGGAGCTAATATGGTCGATTTGACGGGAGCGCCCTCTGGTTGCCTCGTGGAGAGAAGCCGCCAATGCGTACGGACTTGATGGAGCGGGGTCGGTTGTCGATGTAGCCGTCATCTGAAACATCATCCGGCTATCACCATGACATAATGCTAACACATGAATGTACACGGATCCTTGCGATGCCGGGCTAGAATGTGGATATGGCAGATCGGAAACCACGAACAGTTGTACAGTAAACTACGGTTATAACAAACTCAAAGGGATCACTAATTTTAGTTCGTAATAACCGTAGTTCGTTACAAGCATATATGCATCATATATACAGCAAATGGTCGGGACAAAAAAATAGCTCGCTATATGCGTCAGTTCAATTATTAACTAATACACATCTTTAAAATTTGATTTAGATGTGTCATAGCTTGCCGCTATTTGAGTAAAGTTTGTTGTCGGCAATATTCCAGCTTTTTGACAGTGGCCTGTAAATAATCGATTTTGGACCAGACAATTTAGTGATTGATGTTGCGGGCAACGACCCACCCCGTCAGTGGACGAGAACGCGGAGTTAACTTAGTCACCTTACTACCCGATCCATTTGGTTGCCTGTTTCGACCAGCATATAGGTTGCGGGGGGACTATTCTATTCTAACCCTGGTAGTCATTTAGCTTTGGAGTGTACGGGGATTTGGATCTTAAATGATGAAGACTTATAGAAAACGATAAAACTTAGAGAGTGAAGGAAACGTTATACGTACTGTTATGCCAGAAGTCATCCTTGTAGTCGCCCGAGGCCTGGTAGGTGTTGTTGCGGAACCCGTCATTAGGGGGTGGAGTCCGCAGTCTGCGGGAAGCGCAATGACGATGAATTAATTACATGTCTAACAGCGGTTATATCCCATTAGTTAGACGTCCCATTAGTTAGACGTCCCAATTGTTAGACAATTTTACCTAGGCAAAGAGGGATTATACCTACAGGTGTAATGGATCAGTCCTTATTAGATTAAATTACTGAGTAGGGATAGGGGACTCACAGTTTAGGGAGTATATATGTTACAATTTCCTTTAATTAATCTAAAATACCTTACTCTCAGCACAGGTTCAATAGGCATGAGATTAACTATGTAAACAATGGAGTAGCTTAATTGTCTTACTGTATGATCAGTTGAAGGAGTTGAGTTGAGATTATCTACTCATCAAACAAATAAAAATGATCTTGGGGTACGTATCATTATCAGTATCGATGATGGCTGGTTTAAGGAAAGTAGAGTACATCACCTCTCGGCGTGGAAGTAAGCAGTTGATATCAGATGGATATCTTTACAACAGAAACCGTGAGAGGCAAACCTGCACACATTGGAGATGTGTCGTCAAGAGAATCTACAGAGAGACAGAGAACCGCCTGGTACGCCTCAAAGATCAGCTGCAGCAGGGTGACAAGTCTGCTATTGAGTATTTAGATGCTTGTGGACACTTGCTTCGTTTGGGATAAGGGCGGAATCCCGACATGGGTTCATTGTCTGAAGCCAATTTCTGGTGTCCCCCGCCGTGATATTGCTGGAATATTGCTAAAAGCGGCGTAAAACCATATCACTCACTCACTCGTTTGGGATAAAACTGTAAAAGTTATTAAATGTAACGTTTACATTATCAAAAACTGTCACAAAGTGTTGTTAAAAACTGTATAAAATTTATTAAATGTAAAGTGTCATTAAATGTGAAGTATAATATTAAACTATCTATTTAAAGCTGCTTTGCTTTGTTTGTCAGATCTTATCTGGACTATTCCATTTTAAAGTCTGAGGTAACAAGCATAAGGATTAGTGTGCACTCAACCGTTTAAAGTGTTGTTATAAGCTGTCTAACTATTGGGACGTCTAACTAATGGGAGGACACCCTAACAGCATGGAAGGAGATATTTTTGATTGACTGGTGATGCTAATGTTTGTGTATTGTATACATATTCAGCCTAAGTCAATGGCATATCTATATTTGCTGTGTTCAAATGACAACGGCATTGCTTTTGTAAAGTTTTATGAAAGTAACATTGATCGATGTCAGTATGTACATGTATTCGTAATTCGTGTTTCTATAAATAATTATATGCAACCATCATAATGCTTTGAATACTTCCTTAGTATACGTTTTACATGAAGGTAAAACTGTTCAAGTCAAGAACAACATCATAGGCGTTGTTTAACGCCCAACCCAGATGTATTAAAGATTTATGACGATGGTCTCTAAATAATTGAGTTTGGACCAGGAAATATACACAGTCATTAATATCATGAGCATCGATCTACGCAATTGGGATACGATGACATGCATCAAACAAGTAATCGTGATATGCCACCCGATCCCGTTAGTCGCCTCTTACCACAAGCATGGGTTTTTGAAGACCAATTCTAACCCGGGGTCTCTAACATAATGACCCTAAAGCGATGACTCCAGGTGTTCAGTCATGTTGATATCTTGGTTTACGAACAGGTAGCTTCACCACGAGCATCCTCAAAGAATGTTACATTCAGAGCTCGGAAATATCTCCGTCATGGTTTGATCCGCGCTCAAAAAGGGGTCTGGTATTTATTATCATTTCGTGTGCGTGTTACCATTAACAAATAACAGACAGTTGATCAATACAGTAGTCACCCTACTTACTGGCCGTAGTCTGGACCCTCGGGCCTGGGCCGGACCTGATTTGGTTGATCCCTGTTGGAAAATAAACCAAAGTAATTTATTTACATCCAAATCGCGTAAGAGCCACTAATTTTGACTTTCTTTAAACCTTTTTAACATGGCAGACTATCAAAATTGCTTAATTGACAGCAAATAAAACAAACACAAAGAGAGTTTGAGATGCATGCCAGAATATTGATATTTCATGGTAACAGAAATCAGTGTGATATATTATATCTAATAATTTATTTTAGCCAGAATGAAGAACTTATAATTGTCTGTAATATTGAAGAAAAATGTGTCGTGATTGTCAAGACCACGTCAGCAATGATTAGCTGTGAAAAGAATAATCCCTGTGTACATCGTATTCATTTCTTTTTAACTACTTCGTGATGCCAAATGTAAATATAGTAATGTACTTGGTATTTAAAATATCCATCCTCGATTATCCAGTTTATTATATGGACCTTCTATTACGATAAATACCCTGGGATCTCTCGCTGCCAAAATTTCTATGTGAGACCGAATTGACGCTAATAATGAACGCCCAATCAAATTACTATCACTCACGAACGAAAGTTATGTTGGAGATAGGAGGTATTGAGTAAGGGAATCACTTCCGACGTCAAGCTATGGCGGCGAATTGGTCCAGTGTATTTGTTGTAATAGAACGAGATTATATATAATTATATAATTAATTTGATAAGCACGGATAGTTAAAGATCAAAGACGATAAATTATTTTAACTCACTGCGGTCCGCCACAACAGTTTCCACACATGCCCCCGTCTTGTCCACCTCCGCATATCGCACCTGATCCGTTGGGTCCCGTGGGACCACAGCATGTGCCGTACTTACAGAACCTATACAAGAAATAGCCTAGCACCAGCAGCAGCAGAAGGACCAGCAGTGCGATCAGAATACCCAACACTGCCGCACCGGCTGGAGTCGAAAATGCGTCAGAAGCAGAAATTACAGCAGCTGTCGTGGTTGTTGTGGTTGTGGTTGTCGTGGTCGTTGTAGTGGTGGTTGTAGCAGGAGTTGTGGTGGTGGTGACGAAGCTCACATAGTATGTTGTCGTTGCAGTACGGGCTGGACTTCCTCCATCGAACGCTATAATTTCCAGTCGACAATCAGAGCAGTCTTTAGTAGCCGGGAAGCGGTTCAGGTATGTTATCCGGCCGTCATTAGTGAATATGACGTTGCTTCCCAAATTGATGCTACTTTGGAGGCGTAAAGTGACGTCATTGTTGGGCGAGGTTAAGTCGGCGTCGGTAGCGGTAATCGTAGCCAGCGTTGTGGGTGGCGTCAACACGTTCTGAGTGATCACGACTGACGTAGCGCTGCCCCCGAAGTCTGGTGTTTGGGTGTTCTGGTCTACAATCGTCACCTGGATGAGAGAAGAACCTGTTGCCCCTTTGTCGTCCGCTACCTCTATTGTCAACGTCACTGAAGACGGGAAGGCGCCACCATCGACGACGTAGTTGTTACTGATTCTAAGGTTGTCGTTCTCCAGGGAAAATAAGTTGCTGTTGTTTGCGGAATTGAGTGATGGGGACAGAACGATGTCCCCTTCTGGATCTCTAATGGTCAGACCGAGCGCACACGTGGAGCCAAATTGCTGTAAGGATCAACAAGCTTTTAATATATTAATATGTTAAACTGATCTAACACTTATTACTTCTGTAGACACACTTGCTGAAAACACATCACATATGGAAAGAAATTTGTCGCTTATATCATTTAGAAAATCAAATTATGAATCCATATCTCCATAGATCGTGGCACAAGGGAGGTTCACATCATATTCTTTTCGTCAACATAATTCATGTTGTCAATGAACTGACATGTACTTACATTGCCTTCAAACAACGTGCAGGAATGAACAGGTCTGCTGAAGAACGGCGGTTCGTTTACATTGGCGACAGTGAGGGAGACGAAGGCGTTGACGGAGGGGAGAAAGCCGTCAAAGAGGGAGAAGGAGAGATTTAGACTACTGACAGACTCGGCGTCCAGGAGAGTTGCACCGTTAGCAACTGTGTTTAACCGGACTTGATTGGCTGTAAAATCCAAAATCCAAATTTGTATAATGTGTGATGCGGTTGCAGTGGGGGCCCAGATGACCCACTCGTCTGAGGCGCCATATTGTGTTGTACAGAGTGTCCCCAGGAGTGTCTGGATCCTATAATTATTGGTTCAAATCCGACATTCGCTTGATTGGGTCCTATTTTTGCCAGCCCTATACTGTCAAGCTGATGAATTATTATGAAGAGGCACTTATACAGGATGCAGTAAAATATACAAATGAGATAAATTGTTTTTCGATATGTCATAGGTTTCTGGCGTGCCCAAGGGACGCAACTCTGCACAGCGAATCGCGGCGCCTTAGACGACTGGGCCACCCGTGCCCCCTCGTCGGGAAGAAGAATTATGATATCGTCTATCATGACTGTGGCAAATCATTTCCACAATATATATGTCACTTTGCGAACTGAAACAAAACTAAACTACCGGGCAAAAGAAAGTATACACATGATTATTCACACTTCATTACTAGGTACAGTGAAATTACGCCCCCCAAGTTCCTTGAGACGCCACGTGCGCATCACTGGCCCACTGAGATACCATGCCGCAGTTTAACATGAATACCCCACTCAGACACAGTATACGGACTCCGAGCCGTCCAGTCCTTGTTTTATTTAGCCCCTTAACATGCGCCAGACAGGATAACAACAAGAACCATCTTATAACGTCTTTTGGTATGAAGCGAGCGGGGATCGAACCCCGGACCTTCCGCTCTCACGGAGACGGTCACACCTGTTGCGAGACACTCATTGATATGGTACATGTAATACCGCCTGTGATACCCCTATCAAGTACATCACCATCGAATAACGATTTCTTGTCTGTTTCATATTTACCACCATCAAACATGGGTGTTTACGTCTTTTGCCCATGAACTCAAACACAAAACTTAAAATTAGCAGAACACTTGTTGGCTAACCTTAAATATCGATTCTCTACATCCAACACAAGCAAGACTTACTTCCGGCGTTATATATGAACTTGGATGCCTCGGAAACAGGATTGACACTGAAGACAGGTGCTATTGTCTGGAAGATGTCAGGGTCAGATATGGTCAGCGTAGTTATCAGTGTCCCGGCCGGTGAGTCTTCATTCAGGGTGACGTTGAGAGGGAGGTTAAGTACTGCGGGACGACTGTTCATGTCTGGAACAGTGTAAAAGTAAACAGTAAACATTGTTATCCATATCCATATATGTTCGTTATAAGCGTGTTCGTTATAAACGTAGTTTACTATAGTCCAAGATCAATGAATGAAGAGCAATTTATACGATGATCATAGGACATGGTTTTACAGTAAACTACGTTTATAGCGAACACGCTTATAACGAACAGTCGGATATAACGAACTGTTTCTTGGTGCCGTCCATCTTCTTATAGATGTTGTACATATGCTTATAACGAACTACGCTTATAACGAATTAAAATTATTGGTCCCTTTGAGTTCGTTATAACCGTAGTTTACTGTACGCAATCTGCAGCATAGTTTGCGTTACAAACAAGGAGTCGGGAGCCTGATGGTGTTTCTGCCACTGGTCGGGAAGATGAGGCGATTCGTCACACCGTACAGCCCTTCAGCTAACTACATATGTTTATCTACTGTATAGGGCCTAGCGGGGTTGGGCGGTTCTTATTCACGAGCCGACAGTTATTCGTATGTCCTCCCACACATTCGAAGTTTGTATTTATTTTAAACATACGCACCTCCATAAAGAGTGTGTATATGAATGAATATACTTACTGATGAAGTTGACAGTGATGGTGAGGGGGCCGACGACGTGGTTACCGTCGCTGACGTTGACTCTAAGCGTCACTGGCGTGACGGTTGCCGTTCTGAGGTCCCTGGCTGCCGATATTACTCCATCCTCTACAGACGATGATTGAAGTGCGTGAGATGGGTTAGATACCCCGGCCACATCACATGGGGGTCACCAAGAATGGGGAACCGAACCCGGGTCTTTGGCGTGACGTGGAAACGCTTTAACCACTAAACTACCACTCAATCTCGATATATGAGAAGCATACAGGAAAAATGGATGTGTTTTCGCCGTGAAATATGTCAATCTATTTGCAAAATGATCATGTATTGAATGCAGTTCATGTGTTTGGGCCTATGGCCTTTCATACAACAAAGATTTGAAGTTTAAATACACCAATTGATCTAAAGAGTATAATATTATATATAAAATCCTACTTGCTTAGTGTTCAAGTGTCAGTTGAAGCCGTAGGTCGAAATTGGGAACATGAAAAAGCTTGTACTTACGCTGACTGATCTGGAAGTAGTCAACTGTGGATGGGTCGACGGTCAACACATATGAAATGGGATCTGTCTCGTTGTCGGTCACTTGAACATCGAACACAAGACTCCCCACAGGCCCGTTCCTGGCGTCTAGGGTCACCGTCACTAGAAACGTAGGTCAGTGTATACTAACATATCTAACACACATAGAAAGGATGTTGGTCAGTGGTCATTTATTTTGTCACAGCGGAAAATATACAAAGACTTACAGATGGAATCGGGTTTTTTTGCTTGTTATAACGCCGCACCCAGCAATATTCAAGCTATACGACGCCGGTTTGTAAATAATTGAGTCTGGACCAGACGATCTAGTGATAACATCAGTATCATCGATTTACGCAGTTTGGATATGACGACATCTTTGTGTCACATCAATCAAGTCAGCGAGCCCATCCGACCATGTTCGCCTCTTACGACAAGCATGGGTAGCTGTATATCAAATAAACGATTAACCACATATGTATGTAGTTATGGTACCACGAGGTTACGTGGGGGCACGGGTGGCCCAGTCGTCTATGGCGCTGCGATTGGTTGTGCAGAGTTGCGTCCATTGTGCACGCCAGAAACCTATGATTGTGGGTTCGAATCCCGGTTCGCCCCGATTATATTTCTAGGTTTGTTAGCACCATACCCGTGCTCGTGGGTTCCATCAAAGTGGTAAACGTCTGAGACCTGCATCACTTCGGGCTTTCCTCCCACATTAAGCTGACACGCCGCGATATAACTGGAATACTGTCAAAAGCGGCGTTAACCCAAACTCCAAACCAGTAACTAAACGTCGTACATAAACAATCCGATTACTTATAACATGGTAGATAAAAAAGGAGACACTTTCCTTTTGTCAATAAAACGGTTTGTTATTTCATAATAGTCGAGTATCTAAACGGTTATTGAAACATCGTAGACGAGTTTCGAAGCCGGTGACATGTGAGCCGATTGATGAGTAACCAAAGGTGGTATATAAGAATCTACATGCGTTATTAAAACGGTAGGATAGTTCATGCTAATTCTGACGTGGTCGATAAGTCATTGTTTTAGGATAAAGACATTAGAATTGTTTATTATGCCGTGGTAGATGAGTAACTTCATGGTTTTGGGATAAAGACATTAGAATTGTTTATTATGACGTGGTCGATGGAACATCATGGCTTTAGGATAAAGACGTTAGAATTGTTTATTATGACGTGGTAGATGAGTAACTTCATGGTTTTAGGATAAAGACGTTAGAATTGTTTATTATGACGTAGTCGATGAGTAACATCATTGTTTTAGGATAAAGACGTCATCAGAATTGTTTATTATGACGTGGTCGATGAGTAACATCATGGTTTTAGGATAAAGACGTTAGAATTGTATATTATGACGTGGTCGATGAGTAACATCGTGGTTTTATGTTAAAGACGTAATCAGAATTGTTTATTATGACGTGGTCGATGAGTAACAGCATGGTTTTAGGATAAAGGCGTTATCAGAATTGTTTATTATGACGTGGTCGATGAGTTACATCATGGTTTTAGGATAAAGACGTTAGAATTGTTTATTATGACGTGGTCGATGAGTAACAGCATGGTTTTAGGATAAAGACGTTAGAATTGTATATTATGACGTGGTCGATGAGTAACATCAAGGTTTTAGGATAAAGACGTCATCAGAATTGTTTTTTATGACGTTGTCGATGAGTAACATAATGGTTTTAGGATAAAGACGTCATCAGAATTGTTTATTATGACGTGGTCGATGAGTAACATCATGGTTTTAGGATAAAGACGTTAGAATTGTATATTATGACGTGGTCGATGAGTAACATCGTGGTTTTATGTTAAAGACGTAATCAGAATTGTTTATTATGACGTGGTCGATGAGTAACAGCATGGTTTTAGGATAAAGGCGTTATCAGAATTGTTTATTATGACGTGGTCGATGAGTTACATCATGGTTTTAGGATAAAGACGTTAGAATTGTTTGTTATGACGTTGTCGATGAGTAACAGCATGGTTTTAGGATAAAGACGTTAGAATTGTATATTATGACGTGGTCGATGAGTAACATCAAGGTTTTAGGATAAAGACGTCATCAGAATTGTTTTTTATGACGTGGTAGATGAGTAACATAATGGTTTTAGGATAAAGACGTCATCAGAATTGTTTATTATGACGTGGTCGATGAGTTACATCATGGTTTTAGGATAAAGACGTTAGAATTGTTTATTATGACGTTGTCGATGAGTAACAGCATGGTTTTAGGATAAAGACGTTAGAATTGTATATTATGACGTGGTCGATGAGTAACATCAAGGTTTATGGATAAAGACGTCATCAGAATTGTTTTTTATGACGTGGTAGATGAGTAACATAATGGTTTTAGGATAAAGACGTCATCAGAATTGTTTATTATGACATGGTTGATTAGTAACATCATGATTTTAGGATAAAGACGTTAGAATTGTATATTATGACGTTGTCGATGAGTAACATCGTGGTTTTAGGATAAAGACGTTATCAGAATTGTTTATTATGACGTGGTCGATGAGTAACAGCATGGTTTTAGGAGAAAGGCGTTATCAGAATTGTTTATTATGGCGTGGTCGATGAGTAACATCATGGTTTTAGGACAAAGACGTTAGAATTGTTTATTATGACGTTGTCGGTTAGTAACATCATGGTTTTAGGATAAAGACGTTAGAATTGTTTATCATAACGCTGATCGATGAGTAACATCATGGTTTTAGGACAAAGACGTTAGAATTGTTTATTATGACGTTGTCGGTTAGTAACATCATGGTTTTAGGATAAAGACGTTAGAATTGTTTATCATAACGCTGATCGATGAGTAACATCGTGGTTTTAGGATAAAGACGTTAGAATTGTTTATCATAACGTGGTCGATGAGTAAGATCATTGTTTTAGGGTAAAGACGTCATCAGAATTGTTTATTATGATGTGGTCGATGAGTAACATCATGCTTTTAGGATAAAGACGTCATCAGAACTGTTTATTATGACGTGGTCGATTAGTAACATCATTGTTTTAGGATAATGACGTCATCAGAACTGTTTATTATGATGTGGTAGATGAGTAACATCATGCTTTTAGGATAAAGACGTCATCGGAATTGTTTATTATGACGCGGTCGATTAGTACCATCGTGGTTTTAGGATAAAGACGTCATCGGAGTTGTTTATTATGACAGGGTCGATGAGTAACTACCTGGCTACGTTTGACGTTGTAGACGAGTAATTACACAGTTACAAATAACATGATAGACGTGTTATTAAAACGATCCCTTGTGATGGGAAACATGAGCAAATGGTAAGCAGCAATATGGTAGATGATGATTATTATTACGGTTACTTGTGCCGAAATGCATGTGTGATTGAACGGTTACATCCTGGTGGTTGAATATATATAATCGGTTATTTATGGAATGCTAGACGCGTTATTAAAGATAAATAGACGAAAGTGGTAGATGGAATTCGGAGCTGCTAGACATCGCATGTATGTGGTGTATAAGTGGTAGATTGCTTCCGATCGGTAGGAGATGAGTTAGGAGGTGAGGTGGGTGAGGTGAAATTGGGTTTAACGTCGCGTACAAGATTATTGCACTTATATAGCGACGTGCATGCACGTGTATGTGTGTGTGTGAGGCTGTTCTAGTCCGGACTGATGCCGATTTAAAGTGCTAGCTCACTGAGATACCATGCAGCAGTTTAACATGAATACCCCACTCAGACACAGTATACTGACTCCGAGCCGACCAGTCCTTGTCGACTTGTACTTGTTTTAGTTCCTTAATGCCGAGCGCCAGACAGGGGAACAACAAGTACCATCTTATAACGTCTTTTGGTATGACGCGGCCGAGGATCGAACACCGGACCTTCCGCTCTCCGGGTGGGCGGTCTACCACCAGACCACGGAGGCGGTCTAGATGAGTTAGGAATGCTGTATCATGTATCATGTATCATGTAGGTAGATACTGTTGAGACAGTGAATTGGTAACTGAAATTGGTGGAGCAGATGCGAAGAATACATATTTAACTATTTAGCAATGATTCAGCCATATAACGAACAAGCGACCCAGCTGTCTTATCGTGAACGGCTGCAAATGTTATAACGAGCAGAAACGACTAAATATATCTGTAGCAGCTACCTCCTGGAAGGCCGGCCACGATGGGAGCCTGGTTGGGGATGATGTCAACCTCCAGTATCTGAGACGCACTCGTAGTGATGGCGTCATTGGCGACACATTGGACCTCGATTCTGTAGGTTCTGATGAGGCTGTAGTCCAGGTTCTGTCCTTGGTTGGGGACGTACACGACGAAGAAATCTGTCAGAGGTAATATATTCAAAGTCAACTGTAAATCAATTATCACCCTAGAGTTTACTGTTACACGTGCATATTGAGTATATTTGCCCCGTATCCTGGCGAGAAAAACCTATTTCGTTTCCAAGCTTAACTCTCAGTATTACTAATTACTTGAGTTAACATTCGACTTCGTCTATTTAAAAGACTACCCGTGAAGATACGGGGTAGAGTGCGGCGTTAAACAACAAATAACCAAACAAATAAACAAACTAGGCGTTAAACAACAAATAAACAAGCAACTAAACAAACTACTTAGAAGTCTGTGGTGGGATTGGCATTTTGCTCGATGTGGCGCGGATTAACGTTACATAGCATGTTCATTTAATACTACATTCTTGATCCTTGATAAGAACATTTCAAACTGAAGAGTCTTCCGCAATTTTAGCTCACTGTTACTATGTACTTCCGTCGCAGCCGTTGGGCGGTGTCTGTCACGATGTACAGTTGCAATTTAAGGTGCCAGACGAATAGCTTGTTCCGAAGGTCAACTTACTGTTAACATTGTTCAGAAAATTATTACTTATTCTGAACACATCAAAAGGTCCACCGTTGAAGAAGTTATTGTTGTTGTTGACACCGTTGAAGAATACGGTGCCGTCGTTGGTGATGTCGACCAGGTTACACGTGCCACATGTGTTGGAGGGTGTGTTGAATATATCTGTACAATTGATCAATGCCAGTGTGGTCTGTGCAACATTATCTTCGTGGAGGTTGACAACTTGGAACGGCGCAATCATAGGCATAGGCATGGCCGCCTGAAAAGAGTTGTGATTTCATCATAACATATAAAGAGTGACTAAGTGAGATGTGTTTAACGCCGCTTTGAACAGAATTCATGTTCTGTCACGGCGAAACTGACTAGTATTGGTATGGTGCTGACAAACCTCTTTCGAACCGGGATTTGGACCCACGATCATAGATTCAAGATTATTGCACTTAAATAGCACCGTGAGTGCGTGCGTGCGTGCGTGCGTGCGTGTGTATGTGTGTGTGTGTGTGTGTGCTTGTACTAGTCCGGACTAATGCCGATTTATAGTGCTAGCCCACCGAGATACCATGCCGCAGTTTAACATGAATACCCCACCCAGACACAGGTTACTGACTCCGAGCCGACCAGTCCTTTTAACCCCTTAATGCCGAGCGCCAGACAGGGTAACAACAAGTACCATCTTTTAACGTGTTTTGGTATGACGCGGCCGGGGATCGAACCCCGGACCTTCCGCTCTACCACTAGACCACGGAGGCGGCCCGTGCCCCCACGACATAAAGAATGACAATGTATCAGATCAATTTATATATTCGTCAGATTATTAAACATTTCCATAAATGATAAACAATTATTTCAAACCATAGTTAGACAAATGTGCTAACTTCATCAGTATTCCAAGACTTGGGGTATCATTTTGGCTTGTCACGCGGAAGACTTTGGTTCAAATTCCGACCTAGATACAGTGTGTGGTGCCAATCTCTCGAGTGTTCCCCAACAGTTATATGGAATTGTTTTCAAAGCTGCGGAAAGCCTTCCCACTCTGCTTAGTTTAAGACATGTCATAGTACGTCAACTTCCTGTCAGACATATTGTTAACATCAGCAAAAGGCTGCATATGTTTCAGCAACTGAAACAACAGAATCTCATGACTAATGGCACACTGGCCACAACGGTTAATTATTTTTAAGCTATGACATGAACAATAACAATAGTATTTCCATGGCTATAAGTCTTACAAATAGTACGTACACACAAAACTGTTTCCAAGGTAATTGAGGAACTAAACCCAAAAGGATCAGATCTAGATTTAGAGCAAATTCCATGTTAAAAAAGTGTCCCATTCTACCATCACGGACACGACTGACCTTTGGAGTCAGCTGGCTGTGACGACACATTGTGTTAAATATTACGACTAAACACATTCAAAACGATATAATAATTATTCAAATCAACACGATATAATGGACCAAAATAGTTTTAGTATTTTTACTTCTTCTTTTATCAATATAGATATCCATCTGTTTTTAAGACCTTATGGATTATTACTGTTATACTGATTGCCGTGCACTAATGTTTTGCACTAATTCATCTCAAGGTACTTACTATATTATTAAAGCTTACGATGGACAGCAGGGACCCCAGTAGGATAAACAGTCCTCGGACGTTTAACCACGTTGAAGCCATGTTGGCCGTTGACTCTCGACTGCCTCACTCGGGTAGATATTGAATGTATATGTCGACCTACTGTGTATAACAAAACCCTCCTTTGTTGCTTTCTATGTGTTCTATTATTGGCCATTTAAGTCTGGATAGATGATCAGCGGGGGATTTCGATTCATTGCAAGCTTCAACTGAATGATCTGTTTACAGGCCGAGAAGCCCCACAAAAGACCTTTTCACTATCAGAATTCAGTTCGTGCCCAATACGTTTGCTTGCATTGATTCAACACATCAGGCTGTAGGATCAGGACATATATACGCCCTTGGGGTATATCAAATTGCAAAATGGTAAAACCAGATATTTATATATTATATTATATTTATATTTCATAAACAAATACCAAGTGATTGAATTAGCTTTAACGACACCTTGAACTGATATTCGGCATATTTGTAACATTTTAACATATTTTTTCATTCCTGGCAAAAGATATAAAAAACATGGTGGTTCCATGTTAACCGGTACCATGATAATTAACATAACTCTATACAGTAAAGTACGTTTATAACGAACACGCTTATAACGAACTGACCGATATAACGAACTTATGTTTTAGTCCCGACCATTTGTTGTATAAATGCTGTATATATGCCTATAATGAACTACGGTTATTACGAACTAAAATTAGTGGTCCCTTTGAGTTCGTTATAACCGTAGTTTACTGTAATTGTGTTCCTCATAATAAAGAACATCCATAAATCCTCTTCCTTATATATAATTGAAAGAAGTATACTATTTTACTTTACTAAAACTATAATAATTACCTTTTTAATAATTAAGTTTACAATCATAATTAACTATAATTTCATACCTTAATGCTTACTTTATTTCAATTTCGCTTTAATATTCCTTTTACTTTATGTCTAAACCTATTATTTCCTCATTTGTTCCGTGATTATTCAACATGAGACGTGAACGTCCGCTGAGTGTTCTGATATGTATGGTAATGCCAAACAGTCAGGTTCATTGTGTGATCGGACTAAACATGCATTATATAACGCGGACAAACCATCCCAATGCAGCCCACTGTCAATACATTTAAGTCGAATATCCTACTGAGACGTTTACGGTAAAACCTATACTATCATATGTGGTTAATGGCCAGTGAATCCTACGATCTCTTTAAAATATTCACGCTTTTGTGTGACCAGCTCACGCTTCAGTGGCCAATGCGTACAGACAGTTTATGTCCATTCTCCCCTGCGGAGCAATACAAACACACATGTTTACGACAGTTGGGATTTGTAAAAGTATTTGAATGTAAAGCGACATTCTGAGACTTATCGGAGTGTTTACATAGAGGGTCCCCATACGTCACTCTGAAGCAAACAAATAGGTATCTGTCACACTCAGTGTGATGAGCGATATAAATAATGTTTATGAAAGCTGCCTGTCGGTAGGATTAATGCGGTTTGATATTGGTTGTTGACATTGGAAGTAGAACCCACTTGCTGGTATTGTGCAGTATGTTACAACTGTTTACTTATTTAAACAAAAATGAAATAACTGCTTTATATTATATTATATAAGTCTTCGAATGTCATTTAGAAGTGACACACAGAAGCGTAAGAAATTTATGGATGTCAACTTTATTTTGAGGAACACAACGTTTCAGAGAATATGATTACTCCTTGATCAGGTGAAATGATTTTATACTGTAGTCTTATAAGTGAGTGAGTATGGTTTTACGCCGCTATTAGCAATATTCCAGCAATATCACGGCGGGGGACACCAGAAATGGGCTTCACACATTGTACACACGTCGGGAATGGAACCCGGGTCTTCGGCGTGACGAGCGAATGCTTACCCACTGGGCTACCCGACCGCCCCGTAGTCTTAAAACCATTAGGAATATGTTCTGATGATAATTGGGGCGGTCGGGTAGCCTAGTGGTTAAAGCGTTCGCTCGTCACGCCGAAGACCCGGGTTCGATTCCCGACGTGTGTACAATGTGTGAAGCCCATTTCTGGTGTCCCCCGCCGTGATATTGCTGGAATATTGCTAAAAGCGGCGTAAAACCATACTCACTCACTCACTCACTCTCTCACTCACTCACTCTGATGATAATTGTATTAATAGAAGTTCAGCATGCCCCTATTCACATTTCATACAAGACACAGTATATCCAGACTATTGGTGTGTTTTTCATTAGGATAGCCATGCAGTTGTACTCAAGGGAACAGAATGCGCTAGCTTGCAATGAATGGAATGTCCGGGAGGTTGGCGAAGGTAGAGGGTAGTTCAGGATATATGGCATAGTTGAAAATATACTTTCTCTGTTATTGGTTAAGCGGGCAGATAACGGAGGTAAGTTTAAATTTCCGAACCTCGGCGATTTACCCACTTTACACTTTACTTCGGAGATTGCGAATGCCAAATTGTCACGTAAGGCATTTTGCTTGTGATATTGATAACGTATGACAATTATTACAAGCACATCATGCGATAGTTATGATCATAATTATTTGAATCATACGTCTATCGTCTTCATCGGCGTTTTTATTAACTCAGCTGTTAGTTAAAGTAAGATAGCCAATCCAGGAACTTCTTTTGGAATTACAGTAGAACACGGATATAACGAACTACAAGGGACCAGAGAAATCAGTTCGTTATATCCGTTGTTCGTTATACACGTTTTCGCTCGGAAACGTCCGCCATATTGATATAAACATGTGTTGGAGCGGCTGTGGAAACGTCCGCCATATTGATATAAACATGTGTTGGAGCGGCTGTGGAAACGTCCGCCATATTGATATAAACATGTGTTGGAGCGGCTGTGGAAACGTCCGCCATATTGATATAAACATGTGTTGGAGCGGCTGTGGAAACGTCCGCCATATTGATATAAACATGTGTTGGAGCGGCTGTGGAAACGTCCGCCATATTGATATAAACATGTGTTGGAGCGGCTTTGGAAACATCCAAGGGAAATTAATGTAACTCTCTGCCACGGCGATTCGGATAATTATGTTCAATTAATAATTAAATAGTTATTAGTATCAAACATTATACATTTATGAATAGGGATATGGTTGACTCCTAAAATGTGATAATCAAGAATATGACCATCTATGTAAGCGTGCTTGAGTAAAATGGTTTGTTGGTACCGGAAAAGAACTGAGGGGAAAATAGTAGTTTTTTCAGTGCAACCTCTTCTCTCTGAGTTAACCGACTGTAAGTTAAGTTGACTTTGATAGTCCGTTAACTTCCTTGCCTCGGGAAGATCGGGCTAGCTTTGCTCATAAACGTGAAACTGGTGAGGTCCATGTCGGTAAGTAGACGTGTGAAAATCGGGTTGGGTTGGGTTGGGTTGGATGGATACCATACTCAGACATATTTTACTTTCGCCGACGATCCTTGTTTTATGCCCTGAATGCCGAGCACCAGGCAGGATGAAAAAAAATAACTCAACACACCTTGGCTTGTAAATGATTAATATTTCTGTCCCAGTAAAACTAGAGAACAGGAGATGTATTCAAGATACGGATGAGCATGATCTGACCTACAGATGTAAACCGTCGTTAAAAAAGGTCAAGGTCAAGGTCACAATTAATAGGGTTGGCTCGGTATTGGAAAACGATGTATGGAAACGTGTCATCGACATAAGGCACTACTGGTCAGTGGCTGAGCATGTCTCATCGTGGTGGGAAGGTCAAGATCACAATACGATTGGCCTTATGATCCACGTGTGTGACTGTCTCGGTTTCGCTCTGATTGCGATCAGTGGCTTGTAAACGCCATAACCATGCTCGTGGGTTTCACTGATGTAATTTGTGACGATTTGCATCACTTTGGGCTTTACATTAGTAACAGACGAAGTGAGCATGGCTTTACGCCGAACTTAGCAACAAACCGACCATATCACGTCGGGACACCAGAAATGAACTCACACATTTTGGGAAGCGAACCCGGACCTTAGGCCTGATGAGCTAACGAATTGGGCACTAAGGTACTCCACCGTCCATCCTCCACATTAAGCTGACATGACGTGTTACACGGGGATATTGTTGCAACTGGCGTTACACCCAACTCACTCGCTCCCTCACTACCTCACACTCAGTGGCCTGGCGAAGAAGAGTTTGTTATATCCTTTCAGAAAAATGGCCAGTACTGACTGTCACCTGTGATGCTATATGTAACAAGCCATATATAAGAAATATGACATACAATCAATTCACTTAATATCATGACCTACATGAAAGAAGAAATGTCTTTTCGAAAGAAAATTTGCAATGTGCAATGTGCACTCTGCAATGAGCACAGGTGCATCCACAAAGCAACATGTGCTTCATCCGGGACATGCGGGAGATGTGATAAAATGAAAAAGTAATCCGTCCTGTAAATGTCATCTTTGCTGAAAGGAAAACTATTGCCAGATGTGAACAGGTACTCTAAATAAACCAATTTCTGCGTCAGTTTTATTATATTTGTATAAAGCAACACTGTAAACATTATATATTACATTTATTGCCACTTTTACACGGTGAAAAATAATTGTATTTTCTAATAAACGTCTGTGGTAGTTTCATAGATCCTTAAGATCATGGTGCTATATATCACAACTATTGATTTGCGTTTTTTCCTGTCCTTTATGAGAGTCTTTTGTCATTTCACGTGTCACGGGATAGAAGCTATCAATCTTACTTCAAGTGTCGGACGAAAAGGACAAGAAAGTCTTTTATCATTTATATCACCACTCCCTTGACGTCAAGTGGTTTCCTGTTATCATATTTCTGGGATCATATGTGGTTCTAACGTGTGATCTTTTTCTGTCATTTGTACCTTTATGAAAGCCACAAAACCCTTAATCATTACCACAGGGATTGTCCATTGTACGATTCCGACTATATCATGAACATGTGTTTACGATTCCGACTATATCATGAACATGTGTTTACGATTCCGACTATATCATGAAAATGTGTTTACGATTCCGACTATTTCATGAACATGTGTTTACGATTCCGACTATTTCATGAACATGTGTTTACGATTCCGACTATATCATGAACATGTGTTTACGATTCACTTTGAAGATACTAGGTTTTACCGAAAAGATGAGCGTATCCTGCTCCACCGGTAAAACCGTCACAAACACATGCAAAGGAAAGGCAATTGTTCACCTGAAGAAAAACATGGGAACATATGTACATCATTTTGGATACTGATGCTTCAAATTTGGAAATGGCTTTCGCATGTCTACCATAAACCTTTTTGAAAGCTCTGGTCTAGCCTTGAATGATGTAACCCTGATGAAACAAATTTGAGCAATAGTGGTACGAAGCTCTTCGAAATCTTCGTAGAAAGAGCTTGCTCGATATGTTTATGTATACGACGTTAAGCTGGTATATTCCTTGGATATTAACGCGTTCTCCTAAAGATTTTTTTAGTTCTGTTGTCCTGTGTATTGAATGAATAATCTACACAGAACAGCTGACGCCCATGTCCATATTGTGTACCCTTCCTCGTCGGATCCCTGCCTCATGACTTCATTGTGTCCTCCGTACTAACCGTAACTCTTCTGGCGTTCTGGCGTTAACTGCAAGATATAACCTGTCCAGTGTTTTGCCTGTTTGCCTGCCGTCTTTGAGTGTTCTATTTTAGCCTGGCGTCATGTTTCGTGTTTGCCAAGCCGTCGAATATTGCGTGTTCTTTCAGTGTGACGTCGTTTGAGCTGCATATACAACATCATGTTATCTGAAGCGAGCCTTCTGGTATGACGTTCTCAGGTTCAGAGGTCTGTAAGTAAGGCATTCCGACGCTGCTAGTATGGTCTACGCTGGTTGGCATCTGCAAATCCAGTATCATAGTTACTTTACTTATCATTTCAAACGCAAATAGTTTGTGATATGTATTCCATTGCGTCGTATAAGTCAAATCTGCCTGGAGACACATATTTTATTCTTAACACTTCTACTAAAATGCAAACAATGACCTACGTTGTGAATGGTCGAATGTATTCCTACTTACACGAGCACGCGAACACAGGCATGAACATTACGTACCCGAATGCCAATGAATACTGTCAGTTTTGTAGCTGCTGTCGTAGTTTAGGTTACGTTGATGGGACTGATGGTGCCTGTAAATGAATGTCTATAACATGTAGATTCGAATTCGTTGTAGTGCACAAAATAGACTGAAAAGTAACTAACTTGCAACTGTAGCTGACACAGATCAATGACAGAAATGATGGCTTCATGTATACGAGTAACTGAGTTTCTCTTCGATGTGGGAGGAGCTTCGTGAAGCCAACGAGCATGAGTATGATGATGACAAACCAAGAAACATAAGTTGAGAGTCGAACCCAAGATCATGAGACCCTAGTTTCTGTTCGATGTGGGAGGAGCTTCGTGAAGCCAACGAGCATGATCAAGAGGATGACAAACCAAGAAACACAAGTTGAGAGTCGAACCCAAGATCATATAACCCTGGCACGCCAAAGGAACGCAACTCTGGACAACGTATTGCGGCGCCTTAGAAGACGCCAACCGTCCAACTCATTGCTGTGGATTCGCATCCGCATGGTTTTGCACACGGACAGGGCGAAGCCAGTAGAAACGTTACATACACTTGTGTTGTGACGAATTTGGTCTATTGCACATTCGGCAAATCAAGGCACAAATGACTTCAAGATTAGACATAATTCATTATAAAATCAGTATAATAAAATAAAAGAGTGAAATAAATAGGGTAGATTAAGTGGATTCAGTTACCTTGGTTGTTGGTGTTCACTGTTGTAAGGGCTCACCCTTGAATTGCCGCTGAAACATGAAGTGTGTATCCTTGATATATGCACTCCGTGGTTCCCTCTCTGTTCACAGGGGATGCATACAAACAAATGATCAAGACGTTCTCATTATACCATACACATTATATATACACGATAACGTAACAATAATCAATTAAACCAACTACTCACAAGTTATTTATGTTCGGTGAATACCCCGTTGATGTGTGGCCTGGTATTGAGCTGGTGCAGATGTATCGGACAAGGAAGAAGGCCCCAAGCATGACAGTAAGGACGGCAACAGCAACGGCTGCAGCAAACACCGTAATCCCCGCCTCACTAGACAGCAGACTCTGACCAGCGCCTGGAGAAGATGTTACGCGTGTCGTAGTCGTTGTCGGGGTTGTTGTATCCGTTGTTTGTGTTGTAAGTGAAGGCGCGGCATTAACGCTAATATATATAAAAACATCGGTAGATTTCGCAGGCACACCACCGTCTTTTGCTTCAACTGTTAATAATATTGTTTGTCCCACAATAAATACATCTGCATATCGATAGTATATAATGTCACCGTTATGGAAGAGAATGTAATTGTTTCCTTCAGGGGGCGCCATACCCTTAACTTTCAAGGTCACCACGTTATTAGGCGACGTGAGGTCTTTATCAACGGCGGTGATAGTACCTAGTACGCTAGGCACCTGCGTGATGCCGGCAGTCACACTGTAGATGTAGGTGCCGACGCTCTCGGGGGTGTTGTCGTTGGTATCTAACACCGTCACAGCCACCGTGCATGTTGACGAGCCACCAGCAAAGTCTTCACCAAGAAGTTCAAGGGTCAATGAGGTTGACTTTGTCGTATCGTCGATGTCGTAATGTCCACTTAACGTTAACGTTGACCTATCTGATTCCCAAGAGAAGTAACTGCTGTATGTGGATGGCAGAAGGGATATTCTTGATATGACGTCGTTTTCAGGGTCCTCGAATCTGACGTTGCCAAGATTACAATAATTCGAAGTGAGACTACTCTGAAATAAAAGATGTGTATAAACAGATGGGTTCTGTTGATAAAACATTAATTATTTTCAACTTAATGTCCTATAATATTTCTGTGAATTCTTTATTAACCTTCGATTTATGAGAAATAACGGATTATCTGCCCCGAGTGAATTCATGTTATTTATCCTAGCCTTGGCGAGAAACATATAATTTTAACTGACGAGCGACATTTAACATAACACCTTGCGAATATTCTATATGTTACCCTAAGCTATCTTTTCTAAGAAAAAGTTCCGTTTCCCGATCGAAAGAAGAGATTGTACATAGAAAATATTCTGTGTCGTTATGAAAAATGGATGATCTAATTTATTTTGACAATGCACTAATGTTTACAAAGTGTCCAAAGATTTGACGTGAACTGAACCATCAGATTAAAGTAAAAATTGTTTATTTCTTCTTTCCAATGGGTCATCCATAATTTTGTATTAGTTTGTTGTGGATTGTTGTTGAAGTCATTAGTCGTGGTGATGCCTCACCTTGACCTCGTACAGCACGCAGGAGTAGGCGCTGCTGGCACAACTGGGGTTTTCGTTGACGTTGGTGACAGTGAGGGTGACACAGAGGTCGCTCAGGTCCAGGAAGCCATCGGTCACTCGAAAACATATCCTGTAGGAAGCGATGGACTCGGCGTCGAGAAGATGAGTTCCAGGTGGCGCGTGTGCCAGGCTAAGGTTCATCCCTGAACAATCATGGCAAGGTGAAGTGTGAAGAGAGAAGAGTGAGGGATGGGTGTTTGTGTCTTTGTTGTTTAACACCGCAATCGGCAATATTCCGTCTAATGACGGCGGCCTGTTGATAATCGATTCTGGGCCAGACGTTCCAGTGATTGATATTACGAACAAGACGCCGTCAGGGTACTTTGACATAAAAACAAGTCACCGAGTCTGACCACCCTATCCATTAAATCGCCTCTTAGGACCAGCATAGGTTCTAGGTGCCAAATCTATCCCGGAATCCCCATTGGTTCCCAATTTAGCCGCTTCATACGACTGGCAATGGGATGCTGGGTACTCAGTCTACGCAAGGTCATCACGGGGGCAAGGGAACTGGCTTAAGTGAGTTACTGATTTTTTATACGTTTTGATTCTATTTTGAAAAGGAAAATGGTACTTTTAGTGATACTTCTTTGTATGTGTTATATAGTAATATTCTGCTCACCGTTGGAATCCAACTCAAACTTCAAGGCTTCAGACGGAGGATTTATCGTCATTTCTGTCACTAGGGTGTCGTGTGAATCAGGGTCAGTGCAGGTCAAGGTCATAATAGGTTGACCCGGTGGAGCGTCTTCTCGAATATTGAGACTTGTAGGAAAATTTGAACAAGTAGGTTTTGAATTGAGATCTGCAATAGAGATGTTGACGTAACTTGTAAGTTTATCTCCTAAATGGACACTCAGTCACCAATCGCCCCTTTCCGTAATCTGCAAGAAGACTCGTCCCCCAGTCGATAAATGTCATGTGCGAAGATGCGACAAATCAATCAGAATGGGCGTATGACTTCAAGTTCTTCGGTAAAAGAATCCCTCAGGACTAAATCTTCTATGATCTTACATATGTCTTGCATTTTAAAATATACCCAAGATACAGTCGCTATTCGGCTTGTTCCGGAATAACGTGAGTTCGGTCACGAATTTCCTTCCCCGTGGACACAGCGATCAGTCGATAACGACGGAGCCGGACACCATAGAAAATGAAGGTTTTCTTTTGAGGGATTCATGCCGGCAGAGGAAGAAACCAGTATCGCAAGACCCTAAAGCCAAATAATGTTTAAATAATTTTTCAAAAATTAAAGAAGTTCCTCGTGTAAAGGGTCTGAATCCCGAAGAGAGTCAGCGTGAAAATATGCACTATTGGAGTGTGGACATTGCTCGCGATAATACATTGGGTTAACGTACTGGTCAGCGTTACGGCCTAGTTCAAAAGGGTGAACGTAGTTTACGTACTGGTCAGTGTTACGTTCAAGATGAATGGTCCTACGGTACTTCGAACGTCCCTCACCAGAACATGAACGACAACAAAGGAAATGTTCGCAGTCGTCAGGTCACGTGATGGTGATATTGTCCCATCGTTGGCTGAAACAAAGATAAGTTCCCCCATTGACATATGACCATGTTGGTAAAGAACAGACGACGTTTAATGTGTAGTAGTGAGTGAGTGAGTATGGTTTTACGCCGCTTTTAGCAATATTCCAGCAATATCACGGCGGGGGACACCAGAGTGTAGTAGACATGTGACTAAATATTGACTAATATATTATAAATCCTATATGAATCTGAGAGTAGTGTAATGAAAAACATTTATTTACAGATCATTATGTCCTGCTTGACTGGTAATGTAGGCATGCTATTATCTACAGACCCGTTCACAGCCACAAAGGTTTTATATGAACACTTTCTACAGGCATACTTGTTGGTATGGAGGTTGTGGGGGTAGTCTTGTGGGTAAAGCGTTCACTCGTCACGCCGAAGGCCCCGGGTCGATCCCCCTAATGGGTACAAAGGGTAAAGCCCATTTCTGTGATATTGCTAAAATCGGCATAAACCCACCTTCACTCATTTGTTAATATGCTGCATATCGAAACTGCATTAACGCCTGACGTGTACCGTATCAAATATCGCGATTGCACTACTGCTTTGTTGCATCGGTGCTTCATTTCATCCCTAGAAAACATGTTTAAACTGACACGTCAAAGTCGTGAACTTGCCATCAGGGCATATGCAGCTATTGGTTGCCATTATCCTCGACAAAATAAACACATGATCACCAAACCCAGGCTATTATATGAGGCTATTGTTTTCGGTAACGACATATGGAAATTGGTAGTCATAACTTCTATATCTTGCTGAAGTAAATTTTATGAAACATATATAATACGTATGTATGATACGTATGTTTCAAGGACGCTAGAGTCAAAGACATATAAGCCGTGGAATTGCGTCTTACCTCTTATAACAAATATGCCTGTGTTGGGGAGCACTTCCATGGAGTAAGTCAGTGTGTCATTTTCAGCATCTGTGGCAGTGGCTGTGTATACAGTAGTGTGAGCTGCAGTGCTATTGGCTTCTAAAGTAATTGCATCTGAAAGAAGTAGCAACAGATGACGTTATCTATGGGTGTACAGTATGTTTAGGTCCTCATCATTACCTTAACATGCATATCATGCATTCGTAGTGCATTCAGAATGCATTCATAGTTCATTCACAGTGCAATCGTTCCACAACAGCTGTACATGAATTCTGCATGCAAGTTAGAATACGTTAGTTGGCCAAGTTTCCCCTAGATGGCAATATCTGATTTCTTAAAAACATGCTTACAATACTCCATGCAATGGTTATGATATGTCAGCCATTAACTTAATCAACGCAAATACATGAAGAGAAAGAGCGGTTTTATTAAAGGATACGACAATATACCATAGCTTAAACTGAATCCTTCAATACAGCGAGCTGAACCAGCAAGGCAGAGCTATAGTGAGGTAATAATTTCATAAACTATGCATATGGTTTTAGGTGAAATCGCGATCTGTCAAAGAAAATCTAGAGATATGTATACCTGTTGGGTAGACTGTAAAAACTGGCGGCTGGTTTTGTAAAACGTCTACTCTCGTCGTCCACGTCCCGCTGACCTGATTCTGGCCGTTGCAGATGACCATGACGCTGTACGATGACGTTGAGGTGTGACTGAGGCCAGTGTTGGGAAGGTACGGGACATAGTACAGGTGGAAATCTGAAAAAGACGGGGTTTGAAGGTTTCGTAAGCTTCTCTCATCGTATAAAGCCCGAATCAGTTACAAATATCATTCACGAGAGACATTATCACACACACACACACACACACACACACACACACACACACACACACACACACACACACACACACACACACACACACACACACACACACACACACAGACACACACACACACAGACACACACACAGAGAGAGAGACACACACACACACACACACACACACACTACTGGCACTGCTTCAACGATAAATACTACCAGCACCTTCCTCTACAAGCAATACTTCTATTATAAAATCTACCATCACCAACCTCAACTTTACCACCAACAAGCACTGCTTCTACTATAACAACTACTTGCACTGCTTTGCCACTGTCCACGTCCAATACTCCTACTACAAAGCCTGTTTCGACTTCTCCAGCTAATAGTACTATTTCTGACATTCTGATGGAAAAGTGATGAGTGTGGCGTAAAAAATACAAACGTCTGATACTACATGCGCGATAACTATTTGTATGACTACGTGCACTACGAGGACGATCTCGTCTATTACAACACCGCCTAGACCCACCACTAGAGGAGTGGGGTAGCCGAGTAAAAAGCAACTGAGCTAAGTAATTACGCGAAGTGTAAAATGAACACGAGTTTACCTTGATTCCCATGTCTTTTCCACATGGCAAATCCCCGGAAGCCAGGACTGACAGAGAGGATGTTGCACGTCAGACACCTGGAGTCTGGTGCAGAACCCAAAGATTTGTCATAGCAGGTGACAGCACCAAGGTCCGTCTCCAGACGGGTGTCCTCGTGCAAGGTCACCATCACCGCGCCGGAGATGTCTGGGGGTTCCGTCGTCGAAGGGGTTGTTATGGTACTGGTGGACTCAGAGGTCGATGTCGAGGTCATAACAGAGGCTGGCAGCGTGAGCAACGGGATCTTGAAAGGATACTTTTACGATTACCCACAGGCCTTATCCGTGGCTTCCCTTTTCACTTTTTCAAAAACGCAAGCTCTTCGATTTAAGTGAAATAGTTTCAACGGAATTGTTTCTTCATCCGAAATGTATTTTCTGCGACCCTTCTGAGACGCTTTCAGACACACACACACACACACACACACACGAACGCAGACACACTCCCATGTGGTCTGGTTATCAACCATTTCATTTTTAGTATGGGAGGTGAGGTGAAATGGGGTTGAACGTTCAACATTACTTCACTTATATAGCGACAATCCAGCGATTGAAATTATGAGCATCGATCTACGCAATTGGGATACGATGACAAGCATCAACCAAGTCAGCGAGCCTGACCACCCGATACCGTTAGTCGCCTCTTACGATAAGGACAGTCGCCTTTTACGACAAGGATTGGTTGCTGAAGACCTTGTCCATCCCGGATCTTCACGGGTTGTGAGGCAGTACTAGTCGGGGCAGTTTAAAACGAATACGCCACTCAGACACAGTGTACTGTATTCCCATAATGCCTAGCGCCAGGCATGTAAACAACAAGTTAACGTAGTTTGGTATGAGGAATCGAACCACTGAAGTTCCGCTCTCCGGGCAGACGCTCCTGTCCACTGGACCACGGAGGCGGCTTTTTAGTATGGGACAACAAAATACCGAGGAATGTTTAATGCTGTATCCAAACGTTACGGTGTTCGCTTCAGCAATCAAAACAGTGTGAGGTGTTTTAGCATGGTGGTTACGATACAAAACATACGGTAATATATGAAAACATTCAATACTCGAACTTCCGTTCTTGCTTTTTCCCCAAATAAACGTAGATTTAGACTGAAAAATATGCCCAACATTGATTATGAAACTGAGATTGTATGTTAACTCACAATAAAATAGTTGAATGACAAACGCAGTACGTGTGTGCGCAATCCAGGCTTTGTCATGATGAGTGAGTGGGTGAGTTGGGTTTAACGCCGCTTTTAACAGTATTCCAGTTATCACGGCGTGTCAGCTTAATGTGGGAGGAAAGCCCGAAGTGATGCAGGTCTCAGACGTTTACCACTTCGGTGAAACCCACGAGCACGGGTATGGTGCTGACAAACCTAGAAACATAATCGGGGCGAACCGGGATTCGAACCCACAATCGTAGGTTTCTAGCGTTCCCAAGGGACGCAACTCTGCACAGCGAATCGCGGCGCCTTAGACGACTTGGCCACCCGTGCCCCCTTGTCATGATGAGGTAACAACTCGTTCATACAGCTACATGTATGTCAATGAAATATTGATACATATATTTACTTACAATTCCCGCCACAGCCAGGGTACATCGTATCCTTAAACCGACCTTCATCATCTGACGCAATTTGGAGAGGTTGAAATTCCACATTTGTGTCTTCTTCGTAGGAGACTGGAGTCGATATTTATTTTAAACTATTCACGTTCATGAAAGAGATGTCGTCATATAATGGGCAGTAAAGGGAGTCAAGTCGTATTTCAATGTGCACTATTTGTTGATTGTGCATGTTGATTGACGCCAGCTATATCTTCGTATCCAAGTAATCTTATTGCAATATGCTCCACACCTAGAGCCTTTCAGAACAGTATGCACCTGGCGAAGGCGTGCCGCCTTGAAACTAAATGGCCGTGCTTACAGAACACAAAAGTTGTTGTGGTCTCCACTTGTCGGTGTGCTATTCACAAAATCATTATTCATTCACTCTGTAGTTATACAGTTCATTGAGGAAGGTAATGCATGGCACGTTTTAGTGCAATCCTTTACACGTGTCATTATTCAGAGCCCACCGACAGATATCTGACGTACTATTCGACATGATGTGTGAGCTCAGTGTACAGAATTCCCCAAAATCTCAACTTTGCAAAGTTACCAGACCAGATAAAATGTTGCCAGTCTAGAATTTTCTAGACTAACGAACAAAAGTAACAAAAGGGTAAACATAAGAATAGTCCTGTTTAATGTTATTTCTCAGAAGAAAAAAACTGGTGGATTGTCCACTTGGTAACTTTAACTCCATCGGGCGTGCTTTTGAAAAATGATCGTCCGTCAGTAAAATAGACCGTCTCGGACTGTCGGGCAGGCGGGTATTTTAACACTGCTTCGTTTCCTTTACAAAATACGCTTCAAAATACCAGGGAGGCGGTCTGTGGCAGATGCTTTATCCACTAGACCACGGAGGCGGTCTCCGGCAGACGCTTTATCCACTAGACATCTGGGGCGGTCTCCGGCAGACGCTTTAACCACTAGACCACGGAGGCGGTCTCCAGCAGACGCTTTATCCACTAGACCACGGAGGCGGTCTCCGGCAGACGCTTTATCCACTAGACCAAGGAGGCGGTCTCTGGCAGACGCTTTATCCACAGAGGAGGTCACACCAGACCCCACAGAGGAGGTCCCTCTATGGTGAAAGTAGTGACAAGGACCAAGTTCAAACAATGTGAGACCAGAAACAGATTCCCTACATTATTAGGGGCTGTCAGTCAAGTTAAAGAAATATCTTACAAACACCCTCATATGTGTTAGGGAACCATACATATAATGGATTCTGACGAGAATTTGGCATGTTGACTTCAAAAGAATGTTTCATTGGCAGTCAGTTTAAAAAAGTCAAAATGAAAATTCTACTTTCTTCTAATGTGTTGAGTGAAACTGATATTTACATTTCAGTACATTAGAATAACATTTCTTTAAAATTAGAGTAAAAAAGTGGTAAGAAGACCCCAAAAGACCATTGGGAAACTGATGACCTAAAATGTTACAGTGAGCTGCACATGTTTCTTTAACGCTGCACTCAGCAATATTCCAGCTACATGACGGCGGTCTGTAAGTAATCATGTCTGGACCAGACAATCAAGTAATTGACATCATGAGCATCGATCCCCGCAATTGGGATACGATGACATGCATCAAAATCCGATCCCGTTAGTCGCCTCTTTCGACAAGCATAGTCGCCTTTTACGGCAAACATGGATTGCTGAAGACCTATTCTAACCCGGATCTTATCAGGCCGAGCTCCACATGTATCTTATGAGCTGCACATGTATCTTATGTTACAGCACATACTATATATACAATAATTAACTATCTCACTTCCTGATATGGAGCGGTCCGGTAGCCTAGTGGTTAAAGTGTTCACTCTTCACACCAAAGACCCGGGTTTGATTCCCAACATGGGTACTATGTGTGAAGCCCATTGCTGGTGTCCCCTGTCGTGATTTTGCTGAAATATTGCTAAGAGCGGCGTAAAAGCATACTCACCCACACACTTCCTGATATGGACCATTTGATATTGGAGGGGGGGAGGGGGGATGAGGGAGGGAGGGAGGGGGGGCCTGGGATTTTGTAACAAGATTAGATATTTTTTCAGCTACAGCTACAAAACCAGATATTAATTTATTTGAAACTATGAGCCTGATTTTTTAAAAGAAAAACAGCTCACAACAATGTAATTTTGGGGGCAGGTATTTTCTTTCAATTTTTTCAAGACTTTTCTTTACATTCCTAGCCTCCTCTCCACAGAATATCAAATGGTCAGTCCCTGAGTAGAAGGGAAATTGACCCTGATTATGATGGTAGCCAGCTCGAAAATAGATGTAGGCAGGCTTTAGAGACATTATTGTTGTAATTTACAATACACAACTAACATGACTTGTATACTTTATTCATGTAAACAATTCAGATACCTAACCAAATGCCCTAACACCACATCTACAGATGGTCGCTTGACGCAGTACTGACCCCATACCTGCAGGGTGGTCCCTTGACGCAGTACTGACACCACGGCTACAGGGTGGTCCCTTGGTGCAGTACTGACACCACACCTACAGGGTGGTCCCTTGATGCAGTACTGACACCACACCTGCAGGGTGGTCCCTTGATGCAGTACTGACACCACACCTGCAGGGTGGTCCCTTGATGCAGTACTAACACCACACCTGCAGGGTGGTCCCTTGATGCAGTACTGACACCACAAATGCAGGGTGGTCCCTTGATGCAGTACTGACACCACACCTACACGGAGATCCCTTGATGCAGTACTGACACCACACCTGCAGGGTGGTCCCTTGATGCAGCATAGACACCACACCGGGGAGTTCTTTGTTTCAATACTGTACAACCCACATGTTGCAAGTGTTGTTAGGCATCCCCACAACAATATAATACACACATTCCCCCTCACATATCAACCAATCATCAAACATTTACCTCTGCATACAGTCCTCAACAGTTATCTGTGCTCAACACCAAGCACAAAGCAATGAATCAACCAGTTACATCTACTTGAGGCAAGGGCTTTCACTGATTGTAAAAGTCCAGTTTCCACCCTTGCCAAACTAGGCTGGAATTTCTCGGCTCAATCGTAGCGCCACCCATGGCTGTTATGAGCTATGTCCCTGCTATGTCCCTCCTACTGACCAATCGGATTCCACCAATCATATAATTTGCATTTGCTTCAAAAAAAAATGGCAGCACCAAGTCAAGACAACCTGATCAATAATCAAAATTTACATTGTCATAAAAAGGGCCTTACCTCGCAAAGTTCATCAACTCACATGAGCACCTTGATTAAAAACATGAAAAGAAACCTTGCTGGCAGTACACATGCTTTGCAAATCCTGCCGTTTACTGAAAACTGCACGTTGAAATCCATGTTCTTTATAAACCGGATGTAAACATGGTAAAATCGTTACTCGATTTTGATTGGACATGCATAGACTTGTTAGTCCAGCCGAAATGTAAATCTAGAATTCCAGCCTTGTTCGGCCAGGTTGGAAACTCGGCTTTTATAGTCAGTTAACACCCTTGCCTCAGAAAGATGACCAGGTATTATTAAAGAAATGTCTTTGAAACTAAAACAATAATACCTTTATACACTCCCTGTGTTTGAATATCATCCCTCCATCGATTCCACCAAAAAAGTGTCCAGAGGTACATTTCAAGATTCACCATACACATTAAACAGTATGTCTGTGCAGAGAACAACAATGCCTTGTTCCCTAAATCTGAGTACTCAGAGCTCCAGATAAGCTTTTGATGTTGTGGGTATTTTACCCATGCATTTTAAAATCATTGGGTATCAGTAATTCTATCTGGGTATTCAAATTTCTGTTACCCACTAGTTTTTACACATGTGGGTAATTAAGTTAAATATTTAAACACTATTCATCTAGTCCCTGAAAACTGGTGTCTGTATCGAGAGCTTTACAGGACTCAAAAATACCACGATACTTCCACAAGAAAGTGTGATGGCAAATAATCATGATGTAACTGTCATCGTGGAGTTTGGCAAGGTTGATGGAATGCCCATTTATAATTTCAAAATAAGTTGCTGATTTGCTAATCGAATACGCAGGGTTACTTCACAATATTTTCATGATACGCACAAGTTTTATTTTTGTAGTGTATCTGTAATGTTCGTTGCGTATTTGATACGCTTGGATTTTATTTTACTGCGTCTTTCTGCATTTCTGATGCGTATTTCACTCAGATATGCAGCTTATCTGGTACTTCCTTCAGAAGTCCTTGTATCTGTCAGCATTGTAAATATGGGCAGGTAACTCACACGTGACTGTGAGAGACAGGCAGTCACACTCTCAGATCACAATGTCTTTCCATGTCAAAGGATCAAATCACTGAGTAACATGGCCATGTAACTAAGTCACAAGGTCTTAGTAATAGTTACAAGGTCAGTCCAAGAAGTCTGGATGTCTTGGAAAGCATCCATGGGCCACCTTAGTGTCACGGAGTTATATTACTAAGTCGCATAACGGCTGACCAAGTCACAGAATCTGGTCACTGACACATTGCACCATGAAGCAAGAGACACACATATCACCATAAAAAAAAACACTCTATAAGGTCAAATCTTAGACTCAGTCGTGTCAAATGTTTGATGCAGTCAGGAGAAAAGTTTGACCCTGTAGGTTTCACTTAGTCATCTTTCTTCTCCTCTATTGTCTTCTCCTCTATTGTCTTCTCCTCTTCCTTCTTTTCCTCTTCTTTCTGTTTGTTCCTGGCCTGGTGTTTAAGCTTCATCTTCTTCATCTTCACCATCATCGTCCCGGTTGCCAGCAGCCACATTATCTGCAAAAGCAATTGTCCCCTCAATTCATCCTCAACATAGTTGTGTCATTTCTCTCATCTGCAACAGCAGCTGTCTCCTGATACATTCATCCTGTACCCACTCACCACAATGACAAGACAGTTGACCAGCACTCACTCACCACAATGACAAGACAGTTGGTCAGTACCCACTCACCACACTGACAAGACAGTTGACCAGTACCCACTCACCATTGACAAGACAGTTGACCAGCACCCACTCACCACTGACAAGACAGTTGACCAGTACCCACTCACCACAATGACAAGACAGTTGACCAGTACCCACTCACCACTGACAAGACAGTTGACCAGTACCCACTCACCACTGACAAGACAGTTGACCAGTAACCACTCACCACAATGACAAGACAGTTGACCAGCACCCACTTACCACTGTCAAGACAGTTGACCAGTACCCACTCACCACTGACAAGACAGTTGACCAGTACCCACTCACCACTGACAAGACAGTCGACCAGTACCCACTCACCATAAGGACAAGACAGTAGACCAGTACCCACTCACCACAATGACAAGACAGTTGACCAGTAACTACTCACCACAATGACAAGACAGTTGACCAGTAACTACTCACCACTGACAAGACAGTTGACCAGTAACCACTCACCACAATGACAAGACAGTTGACCAGTAACTTCTCACCACAATGACAAGACAGTTGACCAGTAACTACTCACCACTGACAAGACAGTCGACCAGTACCCACTCACCATAAGGACAAGACAGTAGACCAGTACCCACTCACCACAATGACAAGACAGTTGACCAGTAACTACTCACCACAATGACAAGACAGTTGACCAGTAACTACTCACCACTGACAAGACAGTTGACCAGTAACCACTCACCACAATGACAAGACAGTTGACCAGTAACTACTCACCACAATGACAAGACAGTTGACCAGTAACTACTCACCACAATGACAAGACAGTTGACCAGTAACTACTCACCACAATGACAAGACAGTTGACCAGTAACTACTCACCCACTGACAACACAGTTGACCAGTAACTACTCACCACAATGACAAGACAGTTGACCAGTAACTACTCACCACAATGACAAGACAGTAGACCAGTAACCACTCACCACAATGACAAGACAGTAGACCAGTAACTACTCACCACAATGACAAGACAGTTGACCAGTAACTACTCACCACTGACAAGACAGTTGACCAGTAACTACTCACCACAATGACAAGACAGTTGACCAGTAACTACTCACCACAATGACAAGACAGTAGACCAGTAACTACTCACCACAATGACAAGACAGTTGACCAGTAACTACTCACCACAATGACAAGACAGTAGACCAGTAACTACTCACCACTGACAAGACAGTTGACCAGTAACTACTCACCACTGACAAGACAGTTGACCAGTAACTACTCACCACAATGACAAGACAGTTGACCAGTAACTACTCACCACAATGACAAGACAGTAGACCAGTAACTACTCACCACAATGACAAGACAGTTGACCAGTAACTACTCACCACTGACAACACAGTTGACCAGTAACTACTCACCACAATGACAAGACAGTTGACCAGTACCTACTCACCACAATGACAAGACAGTTGGCCAGTAACTACTCACCACAATGACAAGACAGTTGACCAGCAGAGGAACAGAATACACTACAGATATGAAGAGTCCACCACTGTCAAAATATTGCTGTCTTGAAAACTTTCTGCAAGGCAAAGAAAACATAACAATATTAGTGATGTTGCAAACATACAGACAATTTGAAACCATAGTTATTAATTATTTTGAGTTATTATCTTTAAAAAAATACAATTTATTCCTTCACAGACAATGACGAACATGGCATTTCAAAATGCTGTGTATTGTTTCATTATGTTAAAGCGAGCACTTAAGACCAACCCGGGTTAGAATAGGTCTTCAGCAACCCATGCTTGCTGTAAAAGGGGACTCTGCTTGTCGTTAGAGGCGACCAACGGGATTGGATGGTCAGACTCGCTGACTTGGTTGATGCATGTCATCATATCCCAATTGCGTGGATCGATGCTCATGATGTCAATCACTGGATTGTCTGGTCCAGACTCAATTATCTACAGACTGCCGTCATAAAGCTGGAATATTGCTGACTGCGGCGTTAAACAACAAACAGGGGTGGTCGGGTAGCCTAGTGGTTAAAGTGTTTGCTTGTCAGGCCGAAGACCCGGGTTCAAATCCCGACATGGGTGCAATGTGTGAAGCCCATTTCTGGTGTCCCCCGCCGTGATATTGCTGGAATATTGCTAAAAGCGGCGTAAAACCATACTCACTCACTAAACAACAAACAAACAAACAGAACTTACGACCAACACTCCATGGTAACTACTGAACACTAGTATGTGCAGAGCTTCCTACTGATATGAATAGTCATGTGTCAAGTATCAGAAAGATTGGGCCAGGGACCAGTGTTGTTCAGAATCAGTGAGGGTGTCAACCCACTCCTCCCCTGAATCCTAAATACCATCTAATTTTTCATTATGAATCTCATTTCTTCATCCTGAATACTAGAAAAGGGTGTGTGATTTGACGTTAAATTACGAAAAAATAAATGAATTTAAAAACAAAATAATTATTATAACGGAAAAAACCTTTAAGCACACCATTAATTTGTTTAAAATGTTGAATCTGCATACAGAATATGATTTCATTCGCGTCCCACATATCACACTACCGAGTCCTGAATACCGTCTAAGAGGATCCCCTAATCTCACGTACCAAAGTGGGGGTGGCAGCCTCAATCAGCGGGTCATATCATTTCAGAGGTCAATGACCAAGGGTCACTGGTAATCTGAATTACTTCACAATATGTACTGAGCATGTAAGAGAATTATGGAAACAATTTCTGTTTAGTTCAGCGAGATGTTAGACATAATCAAAGGGAGATAATTCAACATGAAAGTTTGTTTCCTACAATTGTACAAGGATTGTATGTTGTCCAGATTCCACTTTGCGAAATTGTGCAGATAATGTGTAAGCTCCTGTAATCGGAAATGGAGCTCGAGAAGATGGACAATATTGTGATTTTATTGCAGTTCTGAGGCCAATCTGTGCATGTGTGTACAAGAAATGGCAGTTGATTGCCTCGTCACTTTCAGAAATGTAACAGTACTACAGAAGTCTGTAGGAAAACATGAGGTAGTGGGTACCCTTTATCACCACACTCAGCAATATTCCAGCTACAGGACAGTGTCCTTCAAACAGCACACATTATATTATGATTTACAGTAATCAGTCTGATTTAAACTTACTTCCAGTTTTGAGCAGCTATTGTATTCAAATTTTCAGCAAAGTATACCAACATCACTGAAAACAGAAAATGAAAATAATGCACAGTTATAAACAACTTTTCAGATTCCAGGTGAACATACTTTCATTTGTAGCACTGGGAGGGAAATGTGTTACCATGGTCACAATACAGACACAAGTCCAGTCACACATAATAAAGTATCTTACCTCCATGTCAGAATGATGAGATCTGATTGGTTCACATGATCTTGATAAAATACTGTGCATCCCGCCTGGGAGGGAAATACATTTCTGAGTGAGAGAATAAATCCCTTGAACCCCGCCACGAAGAAAACAGGCTGCACATGGATTTTAATGCCCAGAAATCTCATTTGGAATTGAAATCTTAAGTCTTAAATCTGAGAACACTTCATAATTGTCTCATAATTGACATGATGTTGATGTTAATGTTAAATCAGGGGTGCAAAGTGTAGAAGAAGCAAACCAAAATTCACACTAAACATGCAATATAATTTGTTTATTCTTGCCAAAGGATACCTTTAAAATTGATTGATTGAGGAAAGTGTCAATGCCGTACTGTAAATCTTGAAATGAATGTGTTTGAAATAAATAAGAGACACACTTTTTTAACGACAGATTTGACAGCCGCATCACTGCAGAACCTGATATTTAAAGAAAAGTACTGCTTTCTCAATTAATACTAATTACAACATTTGAAACCTCACACTGTGAAGTTAAATATTGAACTAAGCGTGTTAAATCTTTAGGTAACCTAGTTCCACACAGTGTGTTTATCACCTAATTATTGTAGTATTTGATACCTTGATTCGACTTTGTTTTAAAAAGGATCAGTGAGATGTATCTTTGTAAAATCAGGGCTACTTGCAATAATTACATGTTCATTTTTAGGCCTAGGGTTGGCACTTCATTTGGAAAAGTAATAATATTATGATTTCCAGAATCAGTTCGCGGACATACTGATATAGCAATGTGTGTGTGTGTGTGTGTGTGTGTGTGTGTGTTATCAGTGCCTGGCCTGTTTCCACAGTGTACTCACATAGCACCACAAAGTACACAGCCTGAAGGGGCCCCCCTTGTCTGGTCAGGTAGGTCATCAGAGCACACATGACGTGGAACCCTCCCAAACACCACAGCCAACACTCGGACCAGTCAATCTGAAATACCAGCAGGAAGTCAGTAGTTCCTCTTTAAAACACATTTTGGAATCAACTTGACACAACAGATAGTGCATTAGATCTACTCCCCTCAATGATAATTGAGTGATGTTTCATACTGGGGATCTCTTCTGACCTATAGTCTCCACAGAGGCGACCGTTTTCATCAATATGTTCAACCGATATAATGTGTAGGATAAAACTTGCCAGAGGGTTTTTATGAGATTACAAGCCCAAATCCAAGATTTTATCCCGAGGATGAGGGTTATATCTAACTTATAAACCCAAAAAAGATATTTATAACAACATTTATCAACATTTTCAAACATACTTTCAATGAGCCTTAGGAAATGTGAGAAAATATCTGTTGATGGCATACGGGTACTTGTAAAAGACATTCTTAACGAAAGCACTCTGATATATCAGCACATCTGTGGCCTGCTGGAACACTCACTGGGCTACAGACACGAAGGTTGCGTGTTCGATCCGCAGGAATATAAAGAAAATATTTGTCATTTGATTTTACATTTCATTACATTGTGTTCAAATACAACCAAATTTTATCGAGAAAAACATTCATATGTTACCAAATAAACGGAAGTTCTATTAAATAAAATCCCTGAGATCTTAAATAAAATACCTGGCATATTATATAGAACCCTGGGGATATTATATAAAATACCTGGGCTATTATATAAAATCCTGGGAATATTATAACATCCGTATTTATGACATTTAACCCGACGAGAACAATCGGATGACGTCACTGGAGGTTTATAATGCTGGGTAGTCAAAGAGTAGGTTTATACCCATGAAGGAAAATAAAACCTAGGTCATGACAATCTAAACCAACACCTGAACCTCTTAGCTACACCACTACACCTCACTGTCTGACAGGGGCGGTCGGGGAGCCTAGCGGTTAAAGCGTTCACTCATCACGCCGAAGACCTGGTTCGGGGTTTGGTTCCCGACATGGGTACAATGTGTGAAGCCTATTTTTGGTGTCCCCCATCGTGATATTGCGTGAATATTGCTAAAAGCGGCGTAAAACCAAACTCACTCACTCACTGTCTGACAAAGGTAGTGTGTAGTCTGGTTTACATACTGTAGAACAAGAGGTGAGGTGAAATGGGGTTTAACGTGGCGTCCCAGATTATTGCACTTATATAGCGACGTGCATGTACGTGTGTGTTTGTGTGGCTGCTTGTACTAGTCCGGACTTGTGCCGATTTAGAGTGTTAGCTCACTGAGATTAGATTCAGTTTAACATGAATACCCCACTAAGACACAGTATACTGACTCCGAGCCGACCAATCCTTGTTTTAGCCCCTTAATGCCGAGCGCCAGACAGGGTAACAACAAGTATCCATCTTTTGGTATGACATGGCCGGGGATCGAACCCCGGACCTTCTGCTCTCCGGGCGGACGCTCTACCACTAGACCACGGAGGCGGTCACAGTACAAGAGATAAACAAGACATTTAAATTAGTTCATAAAATCCTATACATCCCGCTACAAACACAACTGTATTTTGTTTAACATATCAATGTTTAACATTAAGTACAAAAGTCAAGGTGTCCTTGTCATAACGTTAGCTAATGTTTTTACAGTTAAGGACTGAGAGAGTCCTTTATTCCAATACCGTAGAAGACCTCAAGAACACCTGGATCCCACTAATTCCAAACACTGCCTGTAGATTTTTGTTTTTCCAGACTGGCATTTTGTTTAGTAGTTATAGGTCTACATTGCGGTCACATCTACCAGATCTACATAATTTATCATACCAATGAAGTAAACTTTTGAATGTCTGAGTCTGTAATAGGCCCAATGCAGGTGTAAACATGAAGTCTGTTTGAGATAATATGATAGACATCGTGACCCTTTTGCAACCAAAATTATCACCAAAATTTCAAAATAATTTATTTTTTCTCGCCAAAGGATGCCACTGTAAAAGCTAGGGGAAATCGTAATGAATTTTGTACTGATAATATAATATAATAATATAATTCTTGTTCATGAAGACCAAAATGTCCATTCGTAACAGGTATGTCTATGTCGCTCACAGGAAATGTACTTGTTTACTTGGAGTAATGATACAGGAGTTGAAACACTAAATGTGAACGAAAACTGAGGACCTCAATACATCTTATCAGCGACATGGCTAGCTAGGCTTGCAACAAGACTCTCTCATGATTTACGCGCACTTACGGAGTTGAGGTAGCTCCAAAGCCCGTCGATTTCGTCTGTCCTTGTCGGCTCCATTAGTTGTTTTTCTTATTGCCTACTCGTTGTCGCTTGTCTGCAATGGTTGTTTGGATTAAAATGAAACGTGGCTGAAGCGGAAGTGGAGGCCAACCATACAGGAAGTCAGGGATGTTTACGTTACAAAGCGAACATTTGTTCGTAAGCATCGGTGGTCTAGTGGTAGAATACTCGCCTGCCACGCGGGTGACCCGGGTTCGATTCCCGGTCGATGCACATGTTTTTATTTTTCATTTTGCAATTAACGAATAGATGAAATGGGATTGTCGTGTTCCAGATTAATAAACTTTTATGCTGACGTGACCATATAAAAGTTATAACTTAGCTTTAGTTCTTGCTGGGAATTTTAAACAATTTATTCTTTGTAATTTAGAAACGGTATGCGTGTTTTAGAGAAGTTCTCCGGTCGCAAGTATACGGGCTTGGTAAGAATTAACCCATTTACTAATCCGTAGTGTACATGTATGACGAAAGAACCCGTGAAGATCCATGTTAGAACAGGTCTGCAGCAACCCACGCTTGCAGTGAAAGGCGTCAATGCTTGTCGTAAGATCGGATGGTCAGGCTCACTGGATTGTCTGGCCCAGACCCGAGTATTTACAGACCGCTGTCATATTACTGGAATATCGCTGAGTGTAGCGTTAAACAACAAACAAACAAAAACAAACACACCTGACGAGAGCCACTTCCTTCTTTACCACGGTTATTGTGGCTTTATGCACCTACCTTAGATACAATAAATATGAATTAAATGAACGCGTTAATAAATTTTAAAAGTGTGTTGGAAGTTGAACAATCTATTTTGGAAACTTATGTGACGTTACGTTAAAAACTGTAGATGTGAACAATAATTTTGCTCTATTGAAAAACTCCATAGATTTCGGAATTCGAGATTCCATGGAAAGTTGATAACTTTTGGAATATTTTGAAGAGTATGGGTATATCCACTCTAAATAACTAATATCCCTATTCATGCAGTCTTGTCAGACACACACACCTCCCGCCGCCCACACACCAACCGCCTCCCTGGAATAGAAGACAGAGCGCCTGCCCGGAGAGAGAATAATCTTGTGAACGGCGTTCAACCCCATTTCGTTCACATCGCCTCACCAGCATCCACCGATCTGCACATGTCATCCGTGGTTGGTAGTGCTTATTTTACGTACGTATCACACACACTGTCCCCGTTTGTACATGTAGATCTAGATTCGTGAGTACAATCAGTGTCAACACTAGAAAAACTAACTTACTAACCAGCGGTCTATCGCGCCTTCTTACTAGTATAGTTCTTCTACTTTCTTCACTAAACATATATGTCTCTTGCTAACGGCAGAATTCATATATGGCTCTTGCTTACGGCAGGCCACAAGGTGAATGTGTATGATGCGTACGTAAAATATGCAGTTACTTGGAATATTTTCAAAGCGTGTATTGTACCAATGTGCGTATTTCGATTCAGTGATGGAACTTGAAGAAAATGTTTTGTTTAAGCCGTATACAACACATGCTTGTTTGAGCTGACATGTTATTTGTGGTATACGGAAGTTTCCAAACGACAAATGGAGACCACGGATAACACTCGGATCGCCTCAACACCATTTAAAACAAAGGACTATGGAGAGTGGAAAAGAGAGGAATGCTCTCTCCTACCACAGGAGAGACTCTCATCGTAACTATAGTACTCAAAAGAAGTTAAGGATAAACCGATTCTTTCATATCACTATAGTTAATCTGTCCTAACAAATTATCGATAGTGATATGAAAGACTAGGATGGTCCTTAAGTCCTTTTGATTAGCATAAATTGTAGCAATCACTTTGATTTGTAGAAATTGTATCCCTTTGATTGTGTATAATTTGATTGGTCTCTTGTTCCTCCTACCCAGTGCGCATATTTCTGTGCTGATTGTCCAACACTGTTAAGACTGGTGACCGGTCTTACAACAGTGTCTTTATACAGGCCGTATAATTCAAGTGCATGGCTGATGTTCGGCTCTGACACTTGGCGTTGTGTGTCATCGTACCCCAGTGACGTCGATGCGTGCTCATGAATTTCGTATAAGGCCTTGTAACAACAAGTACTCACTCACATATTATGCGCTGATCACATATTAGCGAGCCTGACCACCCGATCCCGTTAGTCGCCTCTTACGACAAGCATAGTCGCCTTTTACAGCAAGTATGGGTTGCTGAATGAGAATATTTATGTAATATAAAAGTAGAAAACAAATATATTATAAAAACAAAACTAGTTATGTGTTTTCACAACAATGACTTCCCGAAAATTTGTTATTGTTTTTAAGGAACATGGGGTATTAAGTTCACACAATCATAGTGGTTTACATGATACTGTTGACATTGAACTATCTACAGTGGTACAGTTATTAATATTTTTCAAAATTAATCTTTTCAAAGTTATAGCTACAATTTTGTGATATTATTTTAAAATGAAGTAGATCTGCACATGGAGATCGACATGCATATATTGTTAAAGTTGAAACCCACAACGTTGTGAGTGCCTGTAGCCCGAAACGTCAATTATTCACATTGTCCAAAAGTGCTAATATGTCGCTACAAGGAAACTGGGTCAACGTTGCCCACATAGCGATATGCTGTATTGGGAAATAGATCGGACAGAGCTAGACTGGTACCCTGCCCTTCGCCCCCTAGAGGCTGCAGGCGAGGAGCGGAAGCGCTCTAGGGCAGGTAAACCAGTCAAGGACAGCACAGCTGTTGTGATTGTTGCCGAATAATGTAAACATGTTTCGTCTAATAATTTACAGTTAGCAATTGACGGAAAATATGTTCATAATTATTTAAGTATTTCGTATGTACGCATATCATTATAACCGTGTGAGACAAAGATAAAGTATTGTTTCGAAAGTTTGGTTGCATCTATCCAACGATTTATACACATCCCCATGGCCCATGCCCCACACGTAATTTTCTCAAATCCGTAGCAAATAAGACACGACGCCTGGCGCCGTGCAATGACATCCCATACACTGTACATGTATGTGTGCGAGTACTCTGTTTGTTTACAATGTGTAGATAAATCTCGGCAATAACTAATCGAAGTGCGTTTAGCGGGATTTACGATGTTTTAGATTACTTTAGCCGTGTGTTGATGGCAGACCAAGTACCATGGTGACGCACGCTTGTATGTAGCTTAGTCGCTGTCAACCGGTATGAAAAGGATGCTCCCGAAGCATGAACGTTTCCGTGATTTGTTGAATAATGCCCACTCCAGCTGTTCCACGTCACTGACTAATGTTATCAGCGTCTTAACAGGGCAGACGCAGGGGCACGTGTAAGATACAATACAACCTCCCCTGTCCACACTAATCTGGTTATCGCGGCATGACAGTGAATGTAGTCTGTCTTACAGACCCTGATACAAATATATATCAAATACAGCCCATGCAAGTCTATAATGTTTGGCCAGTCTAGATCACTGCAGTATCTGAAGAGAGTCACTGGGCTCCTTTTTATTATATTTTTATTAAGATAACTGAACAACTGTTTTTTTTATGTAAGATGTGTTCATTTCAGAGAGTAGATGTTAGTCTACAGTGAATGGGCAGGCAGTTCAAGTCAAGGTCGCAATGGATGTATGCTGCTTAGCCCGAATAACCAGGCCCCGTCTCTCATGAACAGCCCTGAACAGTACTACGACATTCTGGCTATAAGCGACCGCCTCCGTGGTCCAGAGGAAGAGCGTCCGCCCGGACAGCGGGAGGTCCGGGGTTCGATCCCCGGCCGCGTCATACCAAAAGGCGTTCAAAGATGGTACTTGTTGTTACCCTGTCAGGCGCTCGGCAAGGACTGGTCGGCTTGGAGTCAGTATACTGTGTCTGAGTGGGGTATTCATGTTAATCTGCGGCATGGTATCTCAGTGAGCTAGCACTATAAATCGGCATCAGTCCGGACTAGTACAAGCAGCCACACACACGCACACACATATACGTGCATGCACGTCGCTATATGTGTGCAATAATCTTGGACGCGACGTTAAAACCAGTTCCACTTCCACCTGTCCCCGTTCCACACAGCGATCTTAGCGCTACGGCGATCGTAACCCTCATACATTAACATAGGCTTACGATAGTCGTAGCGGTAAGATCGCTCTGTGGAACAGTAACCTGGCGTATAAGCCCATGACGTTACAGCACGTTTTGTGACGATATTTGCGTATTGACATTTTAACCCCGTTGTGAAACAGGTCTCTCGACCTCACAGGACTAGAGGTCACGCCTACATGTGAAACATATAATTTAATATAGAAGCGCCTTGCCCGGGACCGACGGGTCATCTGCGGTTAGCATTACCAGGTGAGCAACAGGCACCGTGAAATGTTGTCCCCGTGAATAATCAGGGCCAATATATTGGTCATATTGTCTAAATGTGTGCCATCAGTATCGTAGAGCGAGGGCTTGGATCTCTGCTCGTGTTCTCAGTCACGTGTGCTGGTTTGCCGTGTGTAGATTGGGTTATTTACGGTGAGTGGGATGGTGTTGAAGACGCTATGTGTATTCCAGTTATGTCACGGCGTGTCAGCTAATTGTGCTAGGGAAACCCGGAGTGATGCAGCGATTATTTACAGGACACCGTGATATAGCTGTAATGGTGTTGATCAAACCAGTGGTTGATATGATGAGCAGCACACCACACCGTCGGGGTACGATGGTGTGAGGTCACCACCCGATCCATAGTCGACCAGGATAGATTACGTCGGACTAATTCTACCTCAGAATCCCCACACGTGGTTATGAGGACATGAAATTATCTTTGGATCATAGGAAAACGTAATACCATATTTTCGAAAGAAATGCCTTTGTTAACATGCATTAGAGTTACGTGGATTTTTTAAAAAATTCTTTGAATACATCTCATATATATATATATATTTAATATTTTTTAATATTTTGAAACAAAGACTGGACCAAGTCTGTAGAAACCAAACGGTAGTCTCACAAGCCCTACAGCGTTGGTTCAGAAGTCGGCCGTAATAAGACAAAACAAGATCTTACCAGCGAGATATACAAGGAATGGTATTAAACGATTTCTTGGAAGTGGGTGACGTGCCAACAAATT